GGAGCAGACCCTGTCAGGACAGCCGAGGACAGCGGAGGCAGCTTCCCTGGCCTTGGCTTCGGGCTACACCGTGTTTGAGTCCTTCGAAAACCGCACTTGGCCAGAACCCGATTCGGCGAGAATCGTGTACCAGAGTTCTTCATACAAAGGGACTCTTCGCTCCCCTGGCGCGCAAGGCACGGCGAATAGCGTCGTCAGTGTGCAAGGTGCCATCTGGAGAGCGCCGGCGTTCCCGGTCACCAGCCGTGTGGGGACCACCCTACAGGCTTTTGTATGGTTGAGGTACGACCTTGGTTTTGAGCTGGCTGAGATTGGCTTCGACACCGATCCTGATCTGACGGGCACCAAAGTGCTGGAGGTAGTTCGAGATTGCCCCCCCCCCCCATTTGCACAGTTCAGCTTGTTTTTGTCAATCGGGCCAACTGGGGACGGGAGCGAGATGGCGGGAGTGTTTTAGTTGAAGGTCTTTATGAGCAGTGGCTCCAGATCACCATCCAGGTGATCTCCACCACCGAAGTCGTCGCGCAGCTCTTCGATCGCTCGCAAAACCAGAGGATGACTCACAAGGGAGACTTCAGTGCTGCTCAGCTCGGCAGAAGTGCCATTTCCGACTCAGGGACGGCATTTGTTGAGCTGATGCCAAGTTTCTTATTCGAGGAGGCTTTTGCTGTGGATGAATTAGCCTCTTGTAACGCCGCAGTTCACGAAGAGCTCCCCACCGATGAAGGGCAATGCACTTCGTCTCAGATTCCCCTCAACGACACCTGCATTCCTGGCATCAACTACACCTGCAGCCCGGCTCAGCTTCCTCTGGGAACGAGCCAAGTCTCGTGCGAAAGCTCGGATGGCTACACTTACAACTTCGAGACCGAGGTGAAAGACACCGGCCCCCCACTGGTGAGCAAGAACTTCTCGGACGTCTTGGAGGTGGCGACGTGCGGCCGCACTGCTCACGTGACCTTCGTAGGAGTGGAGGCTTCCGATAACTGTGACACTGTTACACCCACCTGCGCACCCGCATCCGGGAGTCTTTTCTCCCTAGGCACCACCGACGTGACCTGCACAGCACAAGACTTATCGGGCAATGACGCAACTCCCATGACCTTCCAAGTAACGGTGGGTGACACCACCCCACCGGTCATCACTCAGCTTACTGACACGAACGTGACAACATGTGGAGTGATTGCCCAGGTAGCCTTCGAGGTCGAGGTGTCCGACAACTGCGACAATGTTGTGCCCATTTGTGCACCCGCCTCCGGCAGCCTTTTCCTGTGGGCACCACAAACGTCACCTGCACGGCACAGGATTCCACAGGCAACGCCGCAACTCCGATGACTTTTCAAGTGACGGTCACTGGCGACACCACGCCGCCGGCCTTCAACGCAACCCTTGAGAACAAGACGGCGGATGCCGGCTGCGGCGACGTTGCCCAAGTCAGCTTCGAGGCTGTGGCGACCGACGGATGCGGCCCTCCTCACGTCAGCTGCAGCCCTCCGTCCCTAAGTCTGTTCCCGGTTGGCAGCACCAGGGTGCAGTGCATAGCAACGGATGGGTCGGGCAACGCTGCCACCGAGAACTTCGAGGTCACGGTCTCAAAAGGCGTGGAGCCGCCCAGCTTCGGCCCGAGTTCTGACGTCGAAGTGCACAGCCCATACTGCCGGGCCATGCGGGTTCAATTCGCGGTGCCGTCAACTGGCGGCTGTGGAGCCGGCGCGGAGTGCTTTCCAGCCTCGGGATCCCTCTTCCGGCTGGGCAAGACCCAAGTCACGTGCACTGTCTCCAACGACGCCGGCTCGGCGGAGACGAGCTTCAACGTGCATGTGTCCTGCGATGCTCCTCCCTACCGACATCGCTGGCGTGGACGTGCAGGCCGCACATGAGCCGTTTGCGGGGCCCGGAGCTTACCGGCCCGCTTGTAATCCAAGCCTGAAGCTAATGAGTCTGCTGCACTCCACAGACGTCTTCCTCTTCCTACCCAGAGACTCCAACACCCCTTCTTTCAGGAATATACCTTAAATCAGTTTAAGGGTTCCGAATATATTTTTAAAATATATTCCTTAGCCATCCTTAACTAAGGGGTATTGGAGCCCTCTGGGTGCGACTGCGCTTGCCTCTTTTTTTCCTTTCCTGGCTCAGCCCTCGTTCGAGGCGGAAGGCCAAGCACAGGCGCCACAGCGCAAAGTCTGATGGAGCACCCTAAACCCTAAACCCTAATACGGGCAGTGCAGCGTGTGCTTACTTGGCGCATTACCGAAGATCGAGCTGCAGGCTGCAGGTTTCCGACATCGATGGGACCATGCTGGCTAGCCAGCGCCAGCTCAGCACATGAACCGTTGGACGGGCCCAGAAACTGAGCTGGCCCAGTTCTTATCACTTTACAGACATGTTGATGCCTAGATATGAGTGGACTATGTAAAGTGCCGGTGTAGCAGCCCACTGAAGCTCAAGTGCTCCGGCAGACGATTTAATATTGAATGGTGTCCGGTAGGCTAACCCCTCTTGACTACAACGAAGAGGCGTACTGCAAGCGCTGTGAGTATCGGAAATAGGCAACTACGCCCACTATATAGTGACAACTGTGGCACATGAGTCATCCAAGGCAATCAGAGCTGGCCCGGTTTTAAATCTGAAGCTTTTATGGGCAAAATCCGGCTGCGTCCCAAGTGATCCGGCGGACGATGCTGATTGGTTTCCTGGCTCGCGCTGCGTGCGCGCAGCGTCGAGCGAAGAAAGCGCCAGCATGAGATGTGCTCAACCGTCGGTGGAGGCCGAAGGCCAAGCAAAGGCTATAGCGCAAAGTCTGATGGAGCGGGCAGAGCAGCGTGTGCTTACTTGCGCACTTGTGCACTACCGAAAATCGTGCTGTGAGATTCCGTACATGGGGGCTTGGTAGCTCCAGAAACTCCGCCATTTGTCTGCACCCTGCCTCATTCAACATGGGAATGTCAGGTCGACAACATGATGTGGCAGTGACCGTCATGGATCTTTGCTCAGATCCGCGGCTCAACCAGGCAGTGAGAGATTGTTCAGGGCGGCAGTTTTGTCATCAGATGGTGATTCTGAGAGAGCGACAGCAAGGAGCATTCACAGGCCCTCGTTCCGCGAGGCCGAGAGATATTTGCCTGGGGCCGAGATGATGTTCACAGCCGGGTTGAGCACCGTCTAATGCACTGCAAGCTCGGTCCCACAGTTAGCATGTCTCAGCCGATTGCTCCTGAGTCCTCTGAGCCATTTCTGAACCCAGCAAGTAGGCAGAAGAGCGTGGTAGCCCGCGGCCGCGAGTCTTCGCAAGCATGAAGCTTTGCTTCGCGGCTCTTGCTGCCGCCTTGACGGCGACGGCGATGTCCCAGGACTCTCCCGCTGAGCTTCTTCGTGAGCTCCAGGCGCAGCGGGCGTTGTTGGAGGAGCAGCGAAAGGAGCTGAAGCAGATGGCCGAAACTCAGGAGAGTTTTGCTGGTGCCATGGATTCGGCTTGGCTGGTCCTGTGTGGCGCGCTGGTCATGTTCATGCATGCAGGGTTTGCCATGTTGGAGACCGGGTGCTGCCGTGCAAAGAATGCCTCGAACGTCCTGATGAAAAATCTCGTGAACGTCACTGGGCCCTTGCTGGCTACAATTTTACATTTTTTGTTAAAACAAAACCCAAAATGGACTAAGAATGATCAGGTTTGATATCGCCCCAACACGAAACCAGGTCAGTGTTGGAACGCTGGGTTGGTGGATCTTCGGATGGGCGTTTGCCTATGGCTCCCAAGCAGGTTCTTTCATTGGAACAGACGGCTTCTTCGGCCTGGGTTTCTACCACAAGGATGCAGCCGGCCAAATCGTGCCAGTGGAATGCGAGGACGGGAACTGCCAGTCCACGATGTTGAGCTGGTTCTTCCATTCTGGGAGTGGATTTCACTAGTCATAGGACTGCAAAGGCGAGAGCCACACTCGCGGAGCGCAGGGAAACCGCCATGAACAGGGGGAAGCGCATCTCATGTATGCCGGTGGCTAGGGAACTCCGTGTCCGCTTCTGGCGCGCGCTTGTAATTCCTAAGATGGCATGGGGCTGGCTTTTCAAGTGGCCCACGAAGAAGCTTTGCGCCAGTGTACGGCAGTGCATGCGAAAAGTGGGACACATCCACAAGGCAGGATCCACGAGCTTAATCTCCATCCTTGAGGGCAACCACAGCGACCTCAACTTCAAGGCAGGCCAGGATGCCTACGCAGCGTTGCGTCGTCAGGACCTGTGGAGTCAGAGGCAGTGGACGCGTAAGATTGAGCAAGGCACATGGCTGGGGAGGGTTCGCACCTTCCTTGCGCAACTTGGGTGGGCTGAAGTGGCTGCGTTCTCATGGCAGCATTTTCAGGGCGCCAGGTTTCGTTGGCAGATGGATCCTCAAGGCGTTCATCTGCATAGGGAGCTCCATGTGCTCCGCGAGAGTTGGCGGGCCCATTCCTTCCGTGAGTTTCTGGAATCCAACCGGCGAGATGCAAGTGGTCTGGCTTCACAGGGTGCCGCATACCATGAGGCGCGGACTGAGCAGGCCCGTCGGGCGTACAGCAATGGCAACAGTCATGAAAGAGCAGTTCTGATTGGGGCGGCGCTGTCGGACGCCTTCTACTGGGAGAACCCGGCCGGGGCCACCTGCCGGTGGTGCGCGACCGGAGCTGTGCCGTCGTGGCAGCATTTGGCATGGGAATGTGCTGGCTTCGCTGAGGGCCGACCCGGTGCGGGCGACGCCCTTTACAACCGTCTGGGATGGCCTATGTGGAGGCAGAATGGATGGGACACGGCGGCACTCCGCCACATGAGCCGGATTAGGGCAACACTCCTGCAGTAGTGGGGGTGTCCATGGGCGTGCGCCTCTGCGGGGGACGCGTCAGAGCAAGTTCCAAGTCCAGTGGGCCTTCTGCACTGCCGGCAACATCCTCAGTTGAAGCACGTCCTTGCATCGAGTCTCTCGTTCTTCGCGCGTGCTAGCTACATGGACGTGCATCATGAACACTTGTTTTTGCACACAGGCGCCACCATCGTGAGCGGATGCGTGGCAGAGCGCGTGAAGAGCCCCACTTATGCGGTGTTCGCGTTCTGCATGACCTCTTTCATTTACCCCGTCATCGTGGCATGGACGTGGGGCGGCGGCTGGCTCGCCAGCATCTTCGGTGTGGGGTATATGGACTTCGCAGGATGAGATTTGCTTGATGTCTCCTTTCCCCAATGCCCGGTGCCCCAAGTGTGTGCAGCCGGCACGCTGTGGGTAAGTCGACACGTGGAAGGAAGGAGTTTGGATGTTGGAGGTTTAGAGGCCAATTTTATAACATATATGTGCGATCCGATAGATGGACCTCGCAGGATCAGGCGTCGTTCACTTCACCGGAGGCGTTTGTGGCCTTGCTGGCACGACGATCCTCGGCCCGCGAAAGGGACGCTTCGAGAATCCCGAGGAGTTCGAGTACCACAACGTCCCACTGCGACCTGCTGGAACTTGCTGTCCACAGTCGAAGTTACTAGCAGTGTACAATCTGACCTGAAGCTAGTCAGACTCAGCATGCTGTCACATGCTGTTGCATCCAAGGGTCGTGCTCGGAACCTTCGCGCTTTGGTTCGGCTGGTATGGCTTCAACCCAGGCTCCACCCTCTCGATGCATGATAAGGAGATGGGTGCCCTCGCGGCACAGGTGGCCATGAACACCACTCTCTCTGCCGCCACCTGCGGGATCACCGTGTTCTTGCTAAAGTTCGTGATCGTGCGCAAGTACGATGTTGGCGCGCTCTGCAACGGCATCCTTGCCGGCTTGGTGTCCATCACTGCGGGGTGCGGAAACATGGAGTGCGGCAGCGCTGTGCTCACTGGCTTCATCGGGGCTTTCTTCTATATGGCAGCATCCATGCTCCTTGTGAGACTGAAGATCGACGACCCCGTAGATGCCAGCCCGGTGCACGGAGCCTGTGGCGTTTGGGGGCTTCTCGCGGCTGGTCTCTTCGATTGGGGAAAGGGCTTCGACCACTACCACGGCTGGAGCGGTTTCGGCTGCATGGCCGGTGACGATGGTGAGTGCCTCAAGAATGTTGGCGGCACCGCCGTTGGAGCGCAGATCGTGATGATTCTCGCCATCATCGCGTGGGCCGGGACGCTGTCCACGTTCTCCTTCCTGGCCCTCAAGTATTCGGGGCTTCTTCGCATTGACGAGCATATTGAGAAGGTCGGCTACGACATGCACAAGCACTCCCCTTCGAAGGCCTACGCCTTCAATGCCTACGGCGGCTATGTCAAAGAATCTTCGAGTGAGGCTTCGGGTTCAGAGGGTTCAGAGTGAGGGCCTCCAGCCACATGTGGAAGACCAGCGTTTTCGCAGACTCCCGATGCGTTTAATCGATGGCCGGTGAGTCTGTGAGTCAGTGACATGGCTCACGGCGCTAGGGTGCACGCGGGTGGCAACATTTTCCAGACCAGATCTGTCCACTGCAGCCCTCCCACTGCAAACGCCATGGGCAGGGATGGGACAGCTCGTGATTTTGGCATTGCAAGAATGATTTTGGACGATGGTCCGCGCACAGGGCCTGACTCCTCGAGATCTGGGCATGCAAGGCGCTCGTCTTGCTTGCTTTTTAGCATCGCGGACCGCTTGTTTCTGCAACGCAGTTGACAAGGGCCGCGAGCAAGTCTGGGCTTGGCCCTCCGCGGCTCCCTTCATGCGGAGCCGTGAAGCACAGCTGTCTTTTGGAAAGATGTGCACGCAGGCCAATTCAAAAAAAAGGCCTTGCGCGCAATGGTGGTGGGAAGCTGGGCTTGGGGTGGGTCGCGGATGAGCTTGACCGAAGCGAGGTGGAGGCGGTGGAAATGCGCATTGCCGCATGGCAATGCTTGCCTTGGCTCCTGGTCCGGAACTCAACGCAGATCTGGTCTTGAGGAGTCTAGTATAAACTGTATACTATAGATGTTGTCGGCGTGGGCAGTCCAGGAAGATGCAGCGTAGGTGGCCATTGCGGCTCCAGCTCTGGGGGCAAATTACAGTAGTGGGCGATCCCAGCGTCCCAGCGACTACCATGGGGCTTTGCTTGTCCCGAAAGGAGGGGCCACTGTACCAAGAATATAAGGCATGTCTCCCGCCCATGCAGGGCAAGGTGGTTGCTATCACAGGTTGTACATCCGGCACTGGCCTCGTCCTTGCACGGACCCTTGCACAAGCAGGAGCTGAGGTCATCATGCTGAATAGGTCTTCGAAAAGAGCTGACGATGCTTTGAAGGACGTCCAAGCTTTGACGTCGCAGGTGACTTTCATTGAGTGTGACCTCATGAGTTTTGCCAGCGTAAGGAAGGCAGCAACTGAGCTGAACCAGAGATTGGCATCCAAAGGCCTCGATGTTCTTTGCAACAACGCAGGAGTTTCAACCCAACCGGATCAAGCCACGGTAGATGGCTATGATCCCCAAATGCAAACTAACCATCTGTCACACTTCCTTTTGACGCAGAAAGTCTGGCCTCTACTTTTGAAAGCGGCTGATCTTCGAGGGGAATCCCGAGTGGTGAACCACAGCAGTGGCTACCGCCACGCACATAAGCAGCCCTTCCATATAAAGTACTATGGAAAGAACGGCGGTCAGCTCGGAGGCGACGATGAAAGCTTCATGGAGACGATCACAGTTCACCCGCCCGGACTTGAACGTTACTGCCACTCAAAGCTTGCCAACCTTATCTTCACCTATGCACTCGACGACCGGATTCGCCAGAAGGGTCTTAAGGTAAAGGCCCTTTGTGCCAATCCGGGCTTCACTGCCACTCGCCTCATCGCGAATTCCGAACGTTTGAGCTCCTGGTCGGATTTCATGGCCCGGCTCGCGCAGTCCGAGGAGGACGGCACTTTGGGCATCTTGCGATGCTCCTGCGATCCGAGCGCCCAGTCCGGTGACTTCTTCAGCCCCCCTGGCGGTGCTTTGGCGACTCCTGGTCCTTGAAACCTAAGAAACCGCACCAAATAGGCTATGGGACACCAACTACTCGTACTCGTATCAATAAGCATAGCATTTCTACATCTAGTCACTATCATAATCTATCTAACTGTCTAATTCACCTCTCTATCTTGCGATGCTTCTTTTACCCAGGACCGGCCCAGCAGTTCTTCTGGATCGCGAAGATGACATCATCACGCAGGAGATGCGCGAGCAGGTTTGGAGAGCAAGTGAGGAGGCAGCCGGCGAGCCTTTCGATCCTTGAAAGCCGGGATCCCTCTCTCTCTCTACGTTTGAAAGTTTCAATGTCCTCTCTCTCGCTCTCTCCTAGTCCCCGCGCGCGTGGGCCGTTTTAAAACAAGCCTGGATCTGCATCTACACGCTTCATCCACAGCTGTAGGTTTACAGACTGAAAGATGACTGGATGAAGGGAAAAGGGGATCAAAATGAAGTGCAGTGAAATGTACTGCCACAAAAGTACTGAATTACAGGATGGAGAGAATGACGGATGGACGGATGGGTGGATGGATGGACGACTTGAACCAATGCATGAACGATGGACAGACGGAGGGAAGTGAGGTAGGAAGGCAGAAATAAAGGGATGAATGCATGAATGAAGTGTAATGGGATGTAATGGAGTGCAGCGAATTCAGTTGAATGAAAAGAAAATACAATGAAACTTATGAATTTGCAGATATGGGTTGGTGAGTGAGTGAGTGAGTGAGTGAGTGAGTGAGTGAGTGAGTGAGCGAGAGAGCGCATGTTGGGCCAGCGGGTGGGCGGAATTGGGGGGTTTGGGTAAGTGGGTGAGCGAGCGAGCGAGTGAATGAGCGGATGACTGGACTGTAAGCGAATGACATGAGGTCAAACCACACGACCGCAAACAACGGACATGGGACATGAGCAGATGAAGTCAATGAGAAACATGTATCTCTAGATGTGTGTATCTGTGCGTGTTCACATCCGTGAGTTCGTTCAATACCTCTTTGTTCATGTCGAGTGTATGTCCCATGGTTGCTTCCTTAGTTATCCTTATGTTCTAGGCATGCATTTGCCCATTCGTTATGTATTCACTTCGGTGTTCTTCACTGTTCATTCGGTATTGATGTTTGGCACATTTGATGTCGCTTTTTGTTCCTATTTGTTTACTTAGCTATTCTCCAAGATGTAGCAGATATATGACATGGCATGGTACGAGTTCATACAGCATAACTGCTTAAGGGGGGGTTGCAACCTTTGCGCAGATTGGTTTCTATCTGTCCCGGCAACCCCCCATGACATGGATCGCAGACTGCTGTTTGTTTGTACCCCACGAGTTCTGGCGCGATAGCTGCAACAGCTTGTCACTGGAGGCCTGCACGAAGGGATGTGAAGGGAGACCCAGGAGGGCGCTACCGGTCAAAAAGCTTCGCGTCACAAGCTTTGACTTAGCTTTCTGTGGCCCCGTGCACAGCAAAGCTCTTTCGCATCGTGATATGTGTGGCTCAAGTTGAAGCTCATTCGTGAGACCCTTGAGCGGGTCGAGAGCTTGGAGGCCCGGGAGGGACAAAAGCTAGCAAACGCCAAGCGCTAAAACCCCAATTCGCCGACTTGTGTAAGATTTTTGTAAGGAAGCCGCGAGAAATCCGGAACTTCTGGGGTTTCTCGGGCATCAGGTATAAACCCTTGCAGCCCCAAGCCCTAATCCCCTCATTGTTGCAACGGGTCCAACCCCAAATCAAAACGGTGTAGACCTCCGGCCCTGAAAGGAACGATACTGGGCATCCGGATAATATGGTCCTGAAAGAAAGGTGTATCAATCAGGAGTCTACATAGTCACATAGTGTTTTTGCAGTTTTTTCATTCCCCTGCTCCAGAGACAGTTGAACAGTTCTGCGCCCAAACAAACCCACCTGGATCTGCAGTAGTTGAGGCTTGCTTGATTATGGTATGCAGATTATCGGCAAACCATGAATATTGCTGGCGATTGTACGCCGGTGTCTTTGTTTTCTTCGAAAGCATTCCCTGAAATGGGCCAACAGAAGGAAAGTCGTCTGTTCAGCCATAAATCACCTTGTTTCGTGTACCTATGAGCAATGCCTGCGGTGTGCCATGGCTGTGCTTGCCATCACAGTTTGCAGGTATGGCAGAACAAGAGATGCAGGAACGCCATGGGTTGCTGGCTTCGGAGCCCCGGCAAAGCGAGCCCGTTTTGGGAGGCCCCTCTCAGGGGTTTTGGGTTTCAGGCTCGAGCTTGGGCATCAGGTCCTTAGAAGACCCTTGATCTCATGAGTCTTGGTTTCAAGTGTCCTGCAAGGTGCTTTGGTTTCCTGGAACACATTCTGGGTGGTCGTGTTCCCCTTGCTCGTCGCCGGCGTGGTCGTCCCGTGGCTTCTTGGCCATCGGATCATTTCGGAAGTCGTCGTCGGCCTCATTGTCCTCTACTTGATGATAGAGGGCATCATCCTCGTGTGCTTCCCCCGGGCCTTCCAACTCTGGGCGCTCCAGCGGCCCTGGAACTTCCTCGTTCGCCTCCTCCTGCCCCCCATTGAGATCTTGGATTCCATCGGGGCAGGCGGCACCGACCTGTCGATGTTCACCTATCGCCAGTGGGGAGAGAATCTCTGTGCCAGTGGACAAGTCTGGCTGGGGAGTCATGCCGTGGTTTCCAAGGCCTTGACAAGTCCCCAGGCCCGGAACAATTGGCTGGGCGAACACCCGCTTTACCGGGGTGCCTTGCCGGAAGGTGACACGGGCCGCTGTGTTTTCCTCTTGAGCCTCTCCGGCAAGGCTGCCGGCGGCACGGGCGACCACGAGGCCTTCCGCAAGTGCATGATCGACACCTTGTTCAACGACGCCTCCATGAGAAGGGAGACGGATGAGCTTTCACAGTCCTACCTCGAGCAGGCTGCGGAGGATTTCGTGAAGATGACTGCCTACAACTTCTATCATGCATCCGACGGCGGCAACACCACTTTCTGGATCAAGTATTTGCACCACGTGATCTTTGGCATGGACGTCCGAAATCCACAGGAAGTCACATCACTCTACTCCTTCCTCTTTGGCAGCATGGCCCTGACGCACTACCTCGAACCCTTCGGTCGCCTACCTTGCATCTCACAGCATAAAACCATCGACGAGGTGGCCGACCTCTACGAGAAGTCGCCGGCATTTGCCAACTTCAAGGTGGGCTCAAACAGAAACCAAATGCTGTGAAGCATCAAGTCCTAGTCTCGGTTCAATCAGCCGAAGGTCCAGCTTTGTCCACGTCTTGTGCCACATTGCAAGTACATAGTCGCGTCGTATTGAGTAAAAGACAGACCACGTTGTCTTGTGAAACACTGACGTGTTTTCTCTCCTGCGTCAAACATCTCTGTTCGGCGGGTGCCCGCTTTTGGCTGACTCTGCCGTACCGTGTATTGCCTTCCCTATATGAGCTACGCTCGGTGGTTGACAGGCTATTCGAAAGCCTCTTCGTAGTACTCGTAGTGTTCTGGAGGGTTTGATTACAGGTTGTTCATAGTGCTGTACTGTCGGGTATTCTCGGTTCGAATAGAGGACGTCGGGGATCCGAGCGTCTGTTTCGAATTACATCGTATAGTCCCCTCTTGTCCACCAGCGATGCAGATCTACTATTTTTATTCCTCCTCGCAAGAAGTAAGGTCAAGCCAGAGTACAACAACATGACTGCCAGAGAGCTTGCTGTTCTCATGACCGCGATCATGCGCATCGCGGGCATCCAGGGCTCCCGCATGTTGATGTGGCTCTGCACGTCCGGAGATAAGCATGGCAATCTCCAGACCGACATCCGCCCGATATGGGACTCACTCAACTTGGACGATGATGATGAACTCGAGAGATTCGTCCTCGAAGTCTCCAGACTCTCCCCTCCCGTGACAATCTCCCACCGGATTGCCCAAGAGGACTTCTCCTGCGAGATCAAGGGCAAAAGCTACAACTTCCCCAAGGGAACCAACGTGGCCATCCCGATCGTGTATGCCAACATTGACGAGGCAGCTTGGGGCCCAGATGTCTGGGAGTTCAACCACAACCGGCCCGGCCTCAAAGAGAAGCAGGTGAGCTTCAACTCCGTGAACGGTGTGGGCGATCGTGAATGTCCTGGCAAAGGCTTGGTGCTGAGGAGCATGATTCGCCTGCTCAGGGTCATTGGCAAGAAGAGGAGGCAGCAAAGCGCGGCTCAGAATGTCTGAGCTTCGGTCGTACCTTTCGGCCTTTGGCTTGGCGGATGTACGGGTGAGATTCGGTGAGATGTGTGAGATGTGTTCGATATCCATGTGGCACCAGCTCCACAGATCGAATCGCATCGCTACAGTACCAGTGCCCGACTTCAAAACCTTGTAAGTCTTGGAAATTCTGGGATTCTTGAACTGCCCCCTCTTGGAGCCCAGATCGGGAATCTGTCACTCACCTAACTTTGCTTCTGGGCAGCATACGAATCCCTCCTTCTGTGCGAAATCGTCAAAATGGGCGTTTCCGTCTGGGTGGTACCACCTTGCAGACTGCACTGCGGCCCGTGGTCCGCATTTTAAGCCTCCACCCGCACTGGCTTCGCCCTGGTGCGACGAAAACAAGCGCAGGCACCATCAGGCTCAGTCGTTGCGCTAACGATGTGTTCAATGGAGCGAGAAGTTGCAATGTTTTCTGGACCGTATCGTTTCGCCCACCAAATTGAGATGGAGCGAAGTTCTGCGACTGTTTCGTTGTACTCACGACGTTTCCAAGTAAAATCCCTGCTTTCGCAACTCCGTTGCACCCACAGCATTGTCAATATAAGCAGCATCTTTGTTCGTGACAGTTCGGTAACGCCGCGACATTTCCATTTTGGTTTGGATGCGGCGATGTCTGTGACAACTGTGTTGCGCCCACGACGCTGTTGAACTATCTGATCACATCCGCAGCGTTGTTGCGAGACATATCGTTGCGCCCATTTGTTGCAGCACACGAGTGTAGAGATTCAATGAAACTGCTAGCTGCAGGCCTACTGACCTACGGCGCAGAGAGGCGCATCAAAGAAGCTCGCGCCCACGAGCTGTGTACTTCTGCGAGACGTGTATGATTCCCCGCGCCTCGTAACAAGCCGTTACCACTTCGGAGCCATCTTCACAGCATTTGCCAAGACAAAGCTGCGAACTATCATTCGCTTAGTGATGATGATGATGATGATGGTGATGATGGTGATGGTGCGCGATTGAGGTGATGATGATTTTGGCACCGCATCCCCGTTTCAACCTGAGTTCGCGTGTTTTTTACCAATAAAACTAAACGTGGAAACGAGGCAGACTTGAGTTGGGAACCTTCCGAGGAAGCCTGTCAGTTCGACATACCAGACCCGGTGCGTGGAACTGCCAAAAGCTGATGGCATGCGAGCCCGCAGCTTGACGACAGAATTTCTGCCCAAAACGCAAATACACGGGGCACATGGGACGAGAAGAGGATTCACAGGAATGTTGGCACATTTTATGGAAGACCCACAGATTTCTTCCAGCTGAGCAAGTGGTTTCGTGGCGCCATGGCTCCCATCGAAGCAGCTGCGGAAGGTCCGCTTTCAATGACATGCAAGGGAGCTGTTGATCATTGGCATATACTTGATGGTTCCTGTTCTGCAAACTCAAAGAGGAGAAAATGCTCCAACGTAGCCTGATTGTCTCTGGTGGAAGTCCTGCTCATCTTAAGAATCTTTGTCGCAGCAGCGGTCTCGTGTATTGAAGCATCCCGAAGCTACCTGACTTTGCAAACACCACCTAGCCGACGCCCTTGATTTGCTTGTCGCGGTGAGGTGAGCTGGAGAACCTGGTCGATGAGGTGCGCTGGGATTTTGCCTTTCCAAGATACTGCAGAGTCTGCAGAGCTTCCCTCCTCTCCAACCCGTCTGGGGCCCTTGCTTTTGAAGCTGCAAACCCCTATCAGGATCCAGGTTAAAGCCGTCTGCACCATGAGCCCACGCGCAGCGTTGAAGTTTGCCCCTGCAGGATGCGAGCTGCATCGCCATGAAGCCAGCACCTCTCTCAGACTTGAGTTGTGAGCCCATGTGAAGGCATGAACTCAGCCTTCGTTTGGGGAGTGCAAGCACCCCGAGCTGGAACGTGCAGGTGGCACTGCGCCAGGATGAGAGCATCTCCAGCAAGTTCCTGGGTCATTTGGACGTGGGACGTCGCTGCAAGGCCCAGAACTGGCAGTTCACAGCTTGGGAGTCGATTTTCCCATCTCCGCCAGGTTCTCCGGACATCCGCTCCAAAGACGGGCGAAGGGAGGCGGCGTGCCCTGGTCACTGAGGAGTCCGGTCGCCAAGGCAAGTCTTCGAGCTTTCGCTGTAGCTGCGCGCCTCGTGTGAATCCTTGAAGGCTGGATTACCATCATCGACAGCAGGGGCGAGCCCTGCGTTGCCCCGGCCAGCGCAGCAAGCACCTCAGTCGAGTGTCATGAACTCCATGCAAAGTCCCTTGGTGTCTACACCTCGGGACGACTGGCACCGTCAGCTGTTCCAAGCATTGCGCGCAACTGCAGCCGGCAGGTGCAGAAGCCCTCTTCGCTATCGCAGGCAGCTCGCTCTTGTCAGTGTTCGTCTCGAAACCAGCGGCTAGATTTGTTCTGTCCCTTTCGGTGCGGATCACCGTAGACTTGGTTGGTGCTCCTATAATGGACCCATCTTCCCACCAATTAAGACCTTACGACGCACCGTACGGTGGCATCATCCCTGCCAGCATCATCACCGTTACCACCATCACCAGCACCACCTGGCGACCTGAATTCCAATCCTTACAAAACCCCCAAACTCCCGAAAGCTGCACCAAACTTTGCCTGGCCCTGGCTCTGCCTGGCTTTGCCCAAGGTTGCCGTTGGCTCGCAGCTCGAAGTGCCGAAGCCTCAAAGTTGCGCCGCGCGCTGTCGGCTGCGGCTCTGCTTTTCAAACACAGCCGTCTTGGGGGGGGCATAGAGTCGGAAAAGTGCGATGCATGACCGCGCATTGTATGCTTCCTCCTTCTGCTCAGGCTGTGCATGCTCATCGTGCGTGCCGGGGAGGCTCTTAGCAGCCGCAGCCTCACGTGCATCACTTCAAGGCTTCGAGGGGTGGAAGCTTGTGTGTTGGTGCGGGGCTGAGGTGTTGAGCAGAAGGTTCGCGGTGCCTCCTGCATCCGAGGTCCCTTCCTGGACACGCTCCTGCCACACAGCAGGCCGGCTGCCAGAAATGCCTGAAGAAGGAACAAACGAGTTCATAAAGGCGCCATGGATTTGGGAGGATGTGAAAGGCCAGAGCTAAGAAGGCGACTTCGCTTAGGATCGTAGATTTCAGGCCGGGTCGTGCGGGGGTCGCAGGACTTAAGTATAGTTTCGAGTATACAGGCGTCCGACAACGGGACTAAGCGCAGAGTCAGCCCCCAGTTATCCTCAGAGTGCTTCCCTGCAGGATCAAAGTGTTGGAATTGGCACCGGAGCCGTTTTCTCAGTTGTGCTCAGCAAGTGGATGGTTCGGAATTCCGGTACCGATTCCGGAAGAGGCTGGCAGGGTGCTGCATTTGCTGCGTGTCCCAGTTAAAATACGTCGCTCATGCTCGGCTCGATGTGGCCGAGGTCCGCCTCACAGCAGAGGCACAGCTGCCAGAGTTGGCGAGAGCGCCTGCGAACGCAACAGAGTGCCCAGGAGGGCCCTCGTGTCGACCGTCTCGGTGGAGCCGGCACCCCGAGACGTCCGAGACCCGGGCCGGCAGAGCAGAGCGCGGAGAGCGCGCGCCGAGGCCCAACGAGGAGCACATCCAGGGCTGGGCCGCAACCTTGTCCCTTGTGGAGAGGACATGTATGGACATGTTGAGAGTGTGAGAGTCCTTGAGCACGTGGCTCAGGTCAGCCTCTGCAGCTCCACCGGGGCCGTTCTAGTCAGGCTCGGCCTCTAAGTCAAGAAGGTATCCATGTGGGTGCTTTAGCCCTTGAAGCCTTGAAGGCTCGCTGCCGGCGCCGCCAAGCTTCCGAAGGCGATGAAGGCTTCCGCCCACGAGGCTGAAGCGAATCGCAGGCCTTCCGAAGGCTCCTTCCGTCTTTGGCTCTGCCATGCCAGGGTAAGGAGGAAAGCGCTGATGCGAACACGCGCGTGCAGATGGTCCTGCCAGCGCTCTTCACACCCTACCCGGATAAATACACCCCGTGCTGAAACTACGCATGGCACCAAGGAAGCATTTAGGAGCCAGCTTTCTTTTCCCCCTTGCTGTCGTGCCAGGTCACGAAGCTGCTCGAGTTGGCGAGGACGGCGACACAGAGCTGTTCCGAGCATTTGTCGGAGCACCCATTCTTCGGAGAGGTCAGGCGATCTGGAGGCCTTCAAGGCCATCGCCGAGGCAGGCAGAGCATGAAAAGTTGGAGTTCAAAGGAGGCCAGAAAAGGAGGGGCCGCAAGCGAGCCTTTCTTCTGAGGCTGGGGTCCTCGAGCCAGGCGCCAGAATCAGAAGCCCGTGTGCAAGAGAGCCCGGGCTCGCTTTCCTTGCTCTCGAAATTGCCAGGCACAGATCGCTCGGCCCTGTCTCCGGTGTCCCCGACCAGGCAACTCGAGACTCGAGAAAGCAGGGGATAGGTGATGATTCGGGTGATTCAAAAAGACACGATGTGCCAGGGAGCGAGGGTTCTAAGTCTTATCGAGAGAGAGAGAGAGAGAGGCAGGGCGCAGGGCCGGAGCGGGAGGAAGACCCCAACTTGACGAGCCAAGGCACACGAAGACGCTCATCAACCGAAGCGACATCCGGGGCCGCACGGCCTTGATGTATGCATCCGCCATCGGCAGTCGAGACATTGTTGGGGCGCCCGGCAAAGGGAAATCAGCTCCAGCGCAACAACCCCCGATGCAACGGTAACGCAAAAAGTCATGAGCGAAGCCCCGGCAAGGTCGACTACCTCTTAAGCAAGGGGGAGGCCTTGCCCTCACGCCAGCATTGTAGCTCGCATTGTAGCCATGCAGAGCCGCAGCGTTTGCATGAGTGGAGGTGTACGTGAACGCTGTGGACGATACGCAGAAGACTGCCCTCCACCACGCAGTGAAGAGCTCGAAGGACGGGCACAGCAGCCACCGTGCATAGCTGGCATAGCTGCCTGGAAGATGGATCACAGGCAGACATCTCGCGCCTGCTGTTGCGTGCTGGCGCCATGATCGATGCACGCGACCACAACGGATGCACGGCCTGAGCCCAAGCAGATTTCGAAAAGATGAAGAAGGTGTGCGGCCCAGCGTCCCTTGGCCAAGGCGCTGATGCTGGCTGCGGGAAGTGGCGATGTAGATGCTGTCCAGGCAGGTCAGGGCTGCTCTCGGCTTGGATTCGGTCACGCTGAGTGGTAGCAGCATCCCGGGCTCTGTGAATTCAGGAGTTTACGTTGATTACCATGACAAGGAAAACCATTTCTTAGTTTAAATGTCTTTACTTTGTAGGGCAGAGTCTGGAGATGTTGCCTCCTCACACTCTTCAGTTGGGGACGCGCTCGAATCAGCCCATGGTAGATTGTCCGGTATCCAGGAGTCTGGGTGCAAGCGGTGGAGTGAGTGTGGAGTGCTATACTATATGCTGATACTGTTGTAAATTTGCGCGGGCTCTTTGGCCAAGCCCCCTGAGCCCTGTTTGACATTTCCATTCCCGAGCTGTATGTGTATAAATTGAGAAGTAGGCCTTGAAAGACCTCGGTCACTCTGCTCGGTTTCGTTTAGTGTTGCAGGTCCTCCTGGAAAAGGGAGCTCATGCGAATGCCCGGGACTACCTGGTGCGACTGCTTGTTTTGGATGGCGACAGCGCCCTTTCCGACAAAGAACCTGAAGCCGTATGTTGGAGCATTCCTTGGTGCCAGTTCGTATCGATGGCAGGGGAACAGCGCACTGTCCTATGCGCAGGACTTCAATCACCAGGAGGCCTATACATACATTACATTATAGTACATTACATTACATTACATCAATACATACATACATACATACATACATACGCACATACATACATGCGTACATAGTACACACGCTCTGTGTGTGTGTGTGTGTATATATTTATATATGCTACCCCCCCCCCCTCCCAAATACCAATAGATTTATGTGTTTTGCTCTCTAAACCCTGCATTTAAGGACACCAAGACCGTCCCTGCACCCCCCAAAGGATCCACCATTTTAGCTGTTTCAGAAGACTGTGAAGCAAACGAAGCTTATATGAAATGTGCAGCAAACGAGTGTGATGCATGATTTTCTTAAAATGGTATTACTCTCACGAAAACTTATACTCATAGTAATGCTAATACAAGGAATAATTGTGCTCCTACGAATATTGATAATTGTATTCATATCTCTAGAAATATAAATACAGATGTACATACTGACACAGATATTAGTACCAAATTTGATTTACTATTCTTAATTCGTATATCAATGGTAATGGTTCTTTCAATACTGATATTATCAGGAAAATCAACACGAATAGTAAGGCTAATACGATAATCCCAATCATATTCATATTAATACTAATCATATACAGTTAATACTAGTATATATGTATATATATATATATACACATATACTGCTGTCTACGAACATACGTATTACTAAANNCCACATGCGCGCAACGATGTACTAGACAATGAGTATTCTCTTATAACAATGTACCAATATACCACTATCTTAACTATACCAATATACTAATATGCGAAGATGCTAAAAATTGTAAATATTCTGATAAACGGTTATATTCATATACATTTATTAGTAATTACAAAGACTAAGACTAAGACTAATACGAATACAAACACGAACACTACACAAATATTATTACTCATATTTTATCAACTTATTTTAAGACTAGCACTAATACGAATTTTGAGGTGATGGTGTCACGCTTTGGACGCCAGGAATTAGAATTTACGATGAATCCAGCTGTCACAGTAGCGGCCTCCAAAAAGATTTGGTTTTTTGGACAGTACATTGTTTTGTTCAGCCAAAGTGCTGTACTGTCCCAAAAAAACCTATCTTTTCAGGTCTTGGGACCTCGCAGGGCATTTTGTCGTACAGCACTTTCGCAAAAAAAAGATTTGTTTCTTTGGGACAGTACAGTGTTTTTGTTAATTTGATTGCAAAAGTGCTGTACTGTCCCAAGAAAAACCAAAAAGATTGGTTTTTTGCAGACAATACAGCACTTTTGCGAAAAAAGATTGGCTTTTTGGGACAGCACAGCGTTTTTGTTAATTTGATTGCAAAAGTGCTTTACTGTCCACAAAAAACAATCTTTTCCGGTCCTGTGACCTCGCAGGGCATTTTGTCTATCAAAAAGATTGGTTGTTTGGAGACAGTACAGCAGTTTTGCAAAAAACGATTGGTCTTTTGGGACAACACAGTGTGTTTGTTCATCTTCTTGCAGATGTGGTGTACTGTCCCAAAAAAGCAAGTCTTGTTTTGCAAAAGTGCTGTACTGTCCCAAAAAATTTTTTGGAAGGTGTAGTCGGTAGCTCTTTCAAGACTGGAAAAGATTGCTTTTCTTGGTTTTTAGGGACAGTACAGCACTTTTACAAAAAAGGTTGGTTTTTTAGGGACAGTACAAAGTTTCTGTTAATTGTCTTTCAGAAGTGCGACGCGGTGTGGATGCCCAACTTATGCTCATGATGCTCGTCAAGGTGGTGTACGAACGCTCTCAATCGTGCTCGACGTCGCGTACCTGAAAGGCGAACAGGGTGGATCCAAGGGGTGGGGGCACCTTTTAGTTCTCCACGGGGCGTACCTGCAAGGAACATAGAGGAATCTATTGGTAACTGGGGGGGTACCATATAGATACATCTACATACATACATCTATACATACCTGGGTAGGCAAACCTCTGTAAATAAACAGACGCACTCACTTCCTGCGGCAAGAGTGAGCGTTTGGGCTGAAGAGTGAGTGTTTGCTAAACACCTATTTTTCAGAGCCTCAGATTGCAGGGTTAGGTGGTTTCAGGGGTATGGGTTTTTCCGAGTTCTTTATGCTACATGGAGCCAGAGGCCCACAAATCAAGATGCGATGTACGATCTGAGCGCAGTGACAATCCCTGATCTTGCCCTTGATGTCAATTGGAGCTCACAACATAAAACCCCGAGAGCACATGACAATTTAAGAAATATTATCGGATCAACTGGTAACACCTTGCGACTCTCCGCTCCAATGACTTTTTGGCGCTGCGGCGGCACAGCTCGGCATCTTCAGGAGGACTGCACCTGGCCAGGGCAACTTCGGAATCCGCATCGTGGGTTTTGGGCTGGGTTTTATATGAGTCGATCAGAAAGCATTCAGCTTTTGGGTTGATAAATGATTGAATGCGTTCTAAACAGACGACGATGACGACATAAAAATTTGTAGACAATTGCAATTGCTGCAAAGTGACTCAGTCAGTCAAGCCACGCGAGGTCGTCCAGAAGCATCGAGAAGGTTTCTGAATCCAGTGCTGTTTTCATGAAAAGAGCATATCGTTGAAGACTCTTTACGGCTACTGCTCTGGTGTTTACTCGTCTGCTGAGGCGAGCTGTCCGGCCCACAAAATCTTCCGACATAAATGTCGCCTCCCCAATTGGGTTCGTAGCTGTACCACTTGATCGCCATTCTTCGAGGACTCTCAAGAAAATGTGGTTGAGATAGTGGACCTTGGGGCGCAGCTTGAAGAGACAAAGCTGCCGAGAATAGCACATGTTGACCAGTTTGCTGTAGCCACAAAGAAAGCTGTGGCCACAATCGATTACCGTCATGCAATGCTCGTTTGACATGAAAAACTCAGCCTCAAAGCAAACCTTCATGACCCGGCCGATGGCCAGTGCACATGCTAAGATCTCTTTCATGATGTCATCCTGCTGAACCTTCTCTTGAAAGTCTGGACGCTGAAGCAAATAAACGATGAACTTCATGACGACTGCCGTGTCCATGTTCTTGGACCAATTAGCCTCCGGGTACTCTCGAGTTGAACTGTAGCCTAGAAGGTCTTCTGTAAGAGAACGGCCACAATGAAGCCGGTTTTTCGTTCTTTGCATCCATTGCTGTAGCAGTTCATTCAAAGCATTGAGGTCCTTTGCAACCGATCCCAGCCCAAACAGCGCCTTCATGCAGTAGATCAATCCGCTTGCAGTGAAGTCTTGACCGACCCCTGCATGCCAGACATGGAACATGTCTGCCCTCCAAAAGGCTGCAGGCGTATCCGCCCTGTCTAGCTTCATATGCCGCAGAAGCACACTGCCCTCACCGTCCCATGGCAAAGGATTGTTCAGGTGGCACGTTGCCAACCATGCAGGCTGAGTAAAGCCCAGATGCTCAAAAGGAAAGAAGATGTCCTCGTCCGGTGAATCGAAGCCTGCGTGACAGAGCCAGCAGCAACCCTTCTGCACGTTCTTCGAATTATGTCGCTTCCGAACGTTGTGGAATGAGCGGTTCGTCTTGGCAATTTTCTTCACAAAAGGAGCGTCCCCGGTGAACCCCAGAATAATGACATGCCACGTGTGCCCATTGGCCTGAAATCCATTATCATAGAGCTCCTTCAACTCATGACTCCAAATTTCAATAAGATCATCGAAGATTTGGCCATCCTTCTTAGCATCCAGGCTGCTAACAACAGAAAACAGGAATCGCGTGGCCCCAGAATTTCCCTGGAGATTAATCCCCAGCTCGATTTCGCTTTGCAGACGTCGTTTCAAGCTTAGGTCCACTTCTCTGTGCCTGGACCCAGTACCAAGCGCTGGAAACATGGATAAGATCTCGATAGGATCCTTTTTGTAGCCTCGCCCCCCATCCCCATGCAAGTAATAGGGGATGAGCCTCCGGAAGTCGCGGTTCTCGGAGTTCAGGAATATATCGTGTTGTGGATGGACTGCTTTAAACTTTTGCCAAAACAGATCAAGCGCTTCACATGCCAAGTCAGCCGGCACCCCTGCAACTCGATAGAAGTAGCCCTGTTCACTCAGAACTTCCAGCTGGGCCTTGGGGCTGAAAAACGGGTACCGAGGCTCTTTGCCAGCTTTCTTCCAGCTAATGTCAATCGGTAAAGCCAGCCCATGCTTGCGCAACAACGCATACAGGGGCGTATCAGCACTAGACAGCTGCACCTGCGCAATCTTTGCCAGCACAGCGCAAGGATCCCGCTTCACGGCTGAGCGGGCGTCGATGACGAGATCTTTTGCTGCGACCTTGGTGGAATAGAATCTTAATATCCCGATTCTATGCAGACTACACAAATCCAAGATATTAAAGCTTCTGATCAGGATGCATCCATAGCGGTTTAGACATGTCTGGTCAGGACTGTAGCACATTCGGACTTTTTATTCTCTTCTGAGCTTGGCTGTGCATGTGAAATCACACATACAGCAAGGAACAGCTGACCTGCAAAGCCAATCAGCCTAGGATTCGCTTGCGCTGCGCAGCACTTGTAGCTGCACAATAAGCATAGTAAGGAGGTGGAAACCGAGGCGAGAAGTCCTTCCTTCGCATACTCTCCCCGCCCAGCTGAAAGTTCCGGCAGCAGCGCTGATTGTCATAAAACTCCGCAATGAGGGCGGCTTCCAGCATCTCCAGCATGGCCAGCAATTCTAGTCGGCAAACCCTGTGTATCACCACAAAGGACATAAAATTGTGTTCACGGTAGCTCTGCCGACGCTGAAGTGGATTCGAAGTTAGGCCGATCTTGAATACACACAAAGAATTGCCGCCATTCTCTTGTCGGATGCAGTTGACAGTCTTCACACAATGCCACAGAATCTTGGAAGCGAGCGAAGTTTCAGGGATGAGTCTCTGATCGAGGTCCATGCAGCAATGGCCTGGCGAAGAGCACGGCGATTCAGGCTCCCTTGTCACGCTAGTAGCACACGACGTAGGAGAACACACCATCTCGATATCAGAGTTTGCCTGGCATGCTTCTGCTTCATCCTCTGATCCACTCCATGGGAAGATATCCAGCTTGTGGGAGGCACCCCTAAGCATGCTCGCAAGCGGGGCTTTTCAGGGCTACCTGAGTGGCACCAGCCGGAAAACAGCTGAACAGATTTTGAGCAGGCAGGTCGATGCACAATCCGTTTTCAGGAGCCTTTGAAGTACATGCCCGGTATTCGTGCAATCAGCTGCTTCGCAGGCATGCCACAAATGTCACCAATCTGCTGGGGCCCCAGCGCCCTTTCCATATTTGGTCGCAATCAGACGAACTTGCTCACTGATGAGAGGGGCTTCATCACTGCCTGGCAAAGGGAGGGTAATCATAATTATACAAGTATATGGATCGATAGAGCATTTAAGTCGGGCGTTTTGCCAAGATTGGGATCTTACTGGGAACTTTTACTTCAAATGACAGCATTTCTCTAAACAGGTTTGCTCGGGTGGGGCTGTAATACGCAAACACAGGTACTGTGTTGCAAGAAACCTTTGAATTCATTGCAGGCCCAGGGAAGCTGGGATTTCGGGAGGCTTTCACAGGCTCGGGCATGCAGCTTGCTGGACGTCCTGCCAGGAGGATCGACATGTGTATAGTTAAGCTACAATGCTCCTGGGATTCGGACTAATTTGATCTACTGAGAGACACCAGCAATATTGTTGAAGCCCCGCCCGAACTCCCCACTTTTGTCGTTCAAGCTGCGTAAGATGTGGCACCCCAGAAATTGTATCCAACTTCATCAGAAGTAGATGGAAGGCATTCGCATTCCAATGCCGTCACAGCTAATCGAAAATCTGGCATGAGCAAGATGTAGATGACCCTCATCATCACCATAATTAGGCATGATCGACATCGAGGCAAAGCACATAAAACCACAGATCGTCTAGGGTTTGTCGTTTTGACAAATTCATGAAAGAATCCAGATTCCTGCTACCTCCTACCAAACATACTGCAATTCCATGCCAGACTAACCTCTCCCACGGAGGTGCAACAGCTTCGAATAATTAAGGTGTAGCCCGGGGCATCCACCGGTATGCCAGAACACATCACACCCTTTCTTGCAACACTGCTTGAATTGTCATCAACGCTGCAACTAGCGTTCATCCTATTTAAATTAAATAGTGCAGATTAAGATATAAAGGTCCTGGCCTAAGCTAATGGGTCTAGCCGATAGCACATGAAGGAGTATGATGTGTCAATGGCAATCCCTACCACAATGCGGAAATGAAGAGGACATACGAAGTCCCCGCGCTATTGCTTCCAATGCAACTGTAGCATCGAAGCCCAAAACCAAAATCCAGAGCTCACATCCCGGCGCTGAGATCCATCGGCTCACGACTCCTTCTTCGCAGCCTTGCGTGCTCTCGCGAGCACCGACCTCGGAGGAGCAGATTAAATTCTACTTGCATATACATTTTGATCAGAAACCGAGCCCCAAAAAGTTGGACTAACATAATCCCGGTTTGCCCTGTATATAGTTTACAAAGGCCATATAGAAGGAAACCAGTATAATCATCGTAGCCCTGCTTTCGGCTGGCCGGGGATGATTACCCAGCTTTGATGTCGGGTGAGGCTACAAAGGAGGGAATCATTCAGCTGAGATATTAATTAAATAATTCTACACTAAGTCGAAAAATCTACATCGATATGGACACTAACGGCTTTAAACAATTTTCCTCGGTATTGTGGACCTAGTCACACGCTTTTGGTTTGCAACCCGCCACAAACTAATATGCGTGCTAGCTGGTGTAGATCGATCGATACACTTAAGCAAACCTCCAAAGGCCGAAGGCATCCCAGGGCTCCTAGAATAAGCAAGACTATTCCTAGCATACATTGCCTCCTGTAACCGTAACCCAAGAACCCAGCAAAGAAAATTAGATTTCCAGCAACAGCACCGGCAAAAGCAACAACAGCAGCAGCAGGAGCAACAACGACAATGCCAAGAACAAGCGAAGCAACAAATACAACAGCAAGCATGACATGAACAAGGATGACAACAATAGCAACAACAGTAATAGCAACAGCCGCGAAGATGTTGATGACGACGACAAGGACGAGGACGACAGCACCAGCAACTAGCGTAACTATAGCAACGCCAGCAGCAGCAGCAGCATCACCGTTGGCAGCAGCAGCAGCAGCAGCACCATCACCAGCTGGCAGCAGCAACAATAACTTCAATGACACCAATGATAACAAGACACCAACCATACAACCACAGTACACGGCAGAAGCGAGGCCACGGCTGTAGGGTTTCGGTACACTTCGACAAGGGTTATCTGCAACCATCTACAAGTTCAGTTTAGCTAGGAATCCCGGAATCACACAAGTTTATGTTTTTTGCAGGTCAGGTTTAGGGTTACCTCGATGTGCCAAATCAAAGCCCCTGCAGCCACGCAACAAGGTCCAATATGACAGGTGCCATGCACACACCAGCCCCGCAATACTAAAAATTGCATCCACACTGAACCCTAAAGCCCTATAAGCCTAGGAGGTCTATATGAAGTACATTGTATATTGCTCACAAGCACGTTGGAGAATACAACTCGTTTATGACCGCACAGTTTAGACTCTGTGAGACCCTCGGAGATCCATCATATGTGCTATATAGCTATGTAGATCAGTGCCACACACTCAGAGCCAAGCCTGTTCGCAGCCTCCAAGGCCGCAGACTTCGACATCCTGAGGAAGCAGATGACTCAGACCGTATCAGCTATTTAGTGGGCTTCCTGTGTGTTGCGCACGCAGCAGTATATAAATTGAAGCCAGGCTTCAGCTTCTGAGCTTTGAGGAAGTAAGCCTTGCATTCAGCAGCAAGCCTCAGCTCTATGGATATTTGGCGGCATTCGAGAGTGTATACAGTTAGTCGGTCGAAAGTTATTAGATTGCCAGAAACAGACGACATGCACTTGGCAGTCATTGAGCCCTCTACAATTTGCAGACTGGCAGCTTTTCACCGTATCCACCAGTATGCCCTTCGGCCTTCGCCTCCGTCATCTCATCGTAAAGATTCTCGAAGTCCTTCAACATGGCATCCATCTTCTTGAGGGTCCTCAGGCGTGCATGGCTGTCGGAACAATACCAATCAAGGCTCTGAGATATATTCCGTAGCCTGCGTAGGACAATCACGTTTCCCCGATTGTGTTTAATGAAGACAAGTCACCCATTGGTTTTACCGTCTTTTTCCGTCACAGTGGAGCGGATCTTGTCAATCATGGCTTCCAGGGAGTTCTTCGCCTTGAGCACCTGCTTCACGTTCTCCTTCATCTGTGATGCAACCTCATTGATTCAGTGCTCCAGGGCTTATTTTGATACATTTGTATAGATCATCATGTGACTGACATGCATCTGAACATGCAGGTCTGATGTCTCCGAACGTGCCATCCACGAGGCACTCTTGTGGCAGTCACCTTCAATGGCTCCGTCGCCCTTGAAGACCATGTCGTCATCTTCCGGGAAGTCCCATCCATCGAGGTTGACCCGGGGCTTTATCTCCAAGTCTTCCCCTCCTTCTCCCGAATAGTGTCGCTCATGCTGCAGCATCTCCAAGTCCTCTTTGGTGAGGGTGCCGGTCGTTCTGGTATTCACCCAGTACTCGAGCGTCTCATCATCGTATTCACAAGTTCTTGGATTTGCACACATGCACAGGCTTAAGTTCTCGTATGGCAAGATCGAATAAGCAGAGCAAATATAGAGTTTACCCAGAACAAAATCGGCCGGCTAATGTGTTAACTGTTATATATATATATATATATATATTTACATTCCTATATCGATCGTAGAATAGCTGGCGTTGCCGGCAACACATATTACACACACCATGTATACCAGCTAGCCTCATGCATACTGCATGCTGCATACCCGAATGGATCCGTGTAGGAGACCCATGCACTACCAATAAATCCCAATAAGCATCCAATCATTGCCAGATATGCACTACATGCTTTACCAGAAAGTAGACTATTCGTTCAGTTTGATTACAAACAAACATGGAGCAGCTAGAGCCAATTCAGATGGAATCATACTGTACAGGCTTCAAGTAGGCTGGCAGTTGGTCGTGTAGGTTGTTTAGCAAGGAGGCTGCCAGCCATTGCGCATGAAAGTAACGTCAATGAAGAGACCGAAGCACAGCTACGATATCGATGCGCAGTTTTCAAAGCAAATATGAACCCAGCAAAATGAGCCGATGGTGCCAAGCAGCCGAACCAATCCTTTCTTCTCTGCCCAGGCGACGATCTTTTCGATCCGGCTCCTGGGCTGCGCGTTCAATGGCGGATATATCAGGCCATTGGACATTACAGGGTTAAGTTGATACAAGCAAGATTCTGAGAGTAACCGAGCTCGGTCTTCATGTCTTCCCTGCTGTAGAAGCCACCCTTGACCTCGAGCTTCTTCGATCGGGACGATCTTGTCATGATGGTCAAGCTTTCCATGAACACGGCCTTCAGGAGCCGTCGGAGATGACATGATAAAATTTATGGAAATACCCTTCTAGAGACTCTGTAGCTTTCGATCGAAGAACCAGGATTCCTGCCTTGACACCTCCGGACTTGCACCACATTCGAAACAAGGAGTCTCTTCCCTTCGCTGCGTCTTGCCACATCTCAAACACATTCTCTGGCACTTCCAGTCGCCCACTGCCCTTCTTCGGCGAGCAAATGCGCCGAACCTTGTCTTTCTCCAGCTTGGACATGTCCTTCAAGAGGAGTACACGAGGAGGCTCCTCCTCCGATTCATCCGCAGTCTCGGCCTTGTCGGAGTCTTTTTTCCGGGCCTGGTGCTTTGGGTCCTTTTGCGGAGGGTCTGGAAGCACTCGCTTGGTGCCTCGGGAATCGGCTTGAGGGGTCATTTCCACCGAAGCCATCGGCTTGGCAGGCTTTGGCGAGGAAAGCTTCTCAGCAGGATGCTGCGCAGCTTCCTGGGAAACTTCCTGGGGCTCGGCTGTTAAGATACGCATGTGTTCACGCACACGCCACGCATGCATGTGTGCATACATATGCAGGCAGACAGCTGCACACATGTGCACATGGCAACATAGAACGTACGTAGGATGCATGCATGCATGCATGCAGATCGACACAAATTTATTTGTGTAGCTCCTCGGGCTCCTTCGAACTCTTGATCGCTCGAAGTCGTTCGATCTCCTGCCTCTGTAGATCAGATGCAGCTTGTAGCAAAGAGAGCTTGCGTAGAAGCTCCTCTGGTTTGCACAGCATGGATCACTCACGCGGTTCAAGTGATGCACATGTCTATGTTGCGCAGGACTGCGTGCTATCGATATCGCTAGGTTCGACCCACACATGCAACCGGTCCTGCTGAAGCTCAGTCGTAGCTTGGGATGGTGTGGAGGACGGACTTGCCGGGGGTGGCAATGTTGCAGGCGTAGGCAAGCTTATGTCGGATGGCGCACGGGATGGCCCAGAGGGCCCTGTAGGTGGCTCAGCATCCACCGGTTCTTGCTTGACCTAGGTTCGATCGATTGATTATATAGTCTGTGCACATGCAATATCGCATGCTCCTGCAATTGCAGGCAGCTCTGTGGTGCATGGGGACACATATACATTGCTCACGTGTATCACACGCTGGACCGGCTGGACTATGCACACCAGACACACACACACACACACATACGCGAAGAAACATATACTGGCCGATTGTGAGTGGAAGCCAAGGCACTTTGGCACGCTTTGGTTGCTGCAGCAACTCATCCTCGCTGGCGGGCTCGGTCTTGACCTCAGCCTGCGCAATCTCGATGGCGCTGCGCAGCTCCTGCAGGTGCAATATATGCATGCAGATCATGCAACACACCACATAGAAACCGCGGGGCTATTACATGCATGCATGCAGCACGTATGCCATGCATGTGTCAGGCATGACCATGCACGCATGTATGCTTGCTAGCACTGCGTCTGAGTCCTGCGTGTTTTAAAGTATAGAGTATGGCCACTGCGTGCATGTGTATATACGTGAAAACCACGGCACACACAGCATGCAACTGCTATCCTGGGCCACTTCTTGCAGCTTCTCCATGTTCCCCTCCGACGCAGAACGAATCAGAAAACTGATGCCCGATGCCAAAGTGTTTGCCGAATGGCAGTTTCTTCGAAGAGCCATGGCTTTTGCAAGCACCAAGGTGTGATGCCACGAAACAAACAAGTTGCGTACGCAAAAATGCGCACCAAAATCGACCCTGAAACAGAACCCGGCGTAGCGCTAGAAAGAGTGAGTGTTGAGCGCATAAGAGTGAGTGTTGCGTGCTGAAAAGTGAGTGTTTGGAATTCACCAAATTTACAACTTTCTATCTTCTACGCACATGAGTCGTTTTGGGAGCCTCAAGTCACAAATTCAGGTCTGAAACAGGTCCCTGCGAAAGCCTTCAGCCCCGCAACCGAAACACAGCCCTGAAATCCTAGCTCTGCGCTATGCAAACGCAGGCAGCATGGCAGGCCCTCCCTGAAACACGCACACAAAAACCACCCCACCGAACCCCTAGCCTGTATGATCAATATGGCCAAAGAGCTGTTCATGCCTGGGGACCTCACAGACCCTGCTAGCAAGGCCTAAACCAGCCAGCAACCTGAAATAAACCAAAGCCTGAAATACGCAATCTGAAGCTTCGGTCCAGGCGGAGGACACAACCCTGAAATTGCGTACAGCCCCTATATAGATAGCCCTAGATGGCATATAGCTGCATAGAATATTATAGCTAGCTGCAATTAAGATCGATCGATTATAGCGCACCATATGCACATGCAGGCTTGCATGATATCCCCAAACACACAACCCTGAAACACAATTGGCCTGAAACACGCAACCCCACCAGCCCGCAAACACGCAGCCCTAGCCCTGAAGCACGCAAATATGAAACAAAACAGCCGTAAAACAAGAAACCCTGAAACAAACAGCTCCGACACACACACACACACACAACTCTGAAACACGCAGCACTAAAACACGCATCTCTGAAGCAACCAGCCCTGAAACACGCAACTCTGAAACAAACAACCCTGAAACACGCAACTCTGAAAAATACACTCCTGAAGCACATGGCCCTGAAACCCGCAACTGTAGACTATATATAGTCAGCCTTTCGAAACACTCAGAAACACGCAGGTCTGAAACACCCGACTCTGAAACACGCAGGCCCGAAACACGCAACCCACACCCTATATAAGTACCGAGCCCGAACCTGAAACACGCATCCCGGCTTAAAATAAATAAGGCCCACAAACCTGAAACCCATAATGCTATCCGATCGAGATCGGACTGTCTATGCGAATGCTGAGCTAGGGTGTTATCGATCGACCATGGAATATGTTCCGGCCCATAGCCCTCTGAAGCAACTGATCGATCAATCTCGAGCATGATCATATTCACTTGCATGGACACGCGAATCTTGAGGCTACTACGGGCGAGCTGGTGGACCGCGTGCAGCCTGCAATCCTATCTGCGTCGAGGCATTGTGCGCATGCTAGCTTTCGGATTAAGCTACAGAGACCTCCGGGCGATATAGGTTTGTGCATGATAGCTCACTAGTCGAGATCGATCGAAAGCACATAGGACTTCATGGATACAGGGTTTATACACATAATTTGGTACAAGGCTTTCAGGCTTAGGGTTTCCCGGCTCGATCGACATAAGCTTAGCTAGGGCGGGTTTACAGTGTTTATAATTATAGGGCCGGGACTTATTATTTCAGGGTTAGGGCTTCAGGGCTTTACAGGGTGTATATAGGTCACGGGTTAAAGGCACGGATCTATATTCCGGATCGATCGATATGTAGGCCGGGCACCTTTAATTGAATGGCTATATAGAGCTAGCTAGCTAGCTCGTCTACAGAGATCGAATCGAGCTTATGTACACGATCGAGAGCCAACTGCAGTTCACTATCCTGATATGGCTTTATAGTAGCGTGCTCGGATTGCATACGCAGTCTGCATTCCAGCCTGAAACAGGTGCGTGCCACATCCCTGCAGCACATTGCATGAAGGCCAGGCACTTGCATTCAAGGGTCCAGCGGGGAAATTAAGGTCCATGCACACATGCATATGCACGTGCTTGCATGCATGCATTGCATACACTCGAACTCTACCATGGAATTCATGCGTGTATAGTCTAGCGTTTTGAAGGTACCTGCATGCTTCATGCACATGCACATGCGAATACGTATGCAAATCATGCACGCATGCTAGGTTAATATAGGCCTATATGGATTCAGAAGATACGCAAGCACCTAGGCTTTATAATTCTAGCTGTATACGTATGCATCGGACAATCTACACACTGAATTTGCTTTCTGCTTTCGGGTCCTCGGCCTGGCTTGTGCATGGTACGTTGCGTGGAAATGCTAGACACACAAGATTTATACGCAAAAAATGCGCTTCAGGAATGTGCGGGCTTTTGGCGGGTCTGGTATAGCAATTAAGATCGGCGCATGATTTCGGCATGCTAGAGATGTGGTCAGGTCAGGAAACCCATTAGTGTCGCCAATAGAACGAGGCTCCAGAGCAGGAGTCTAAACAAAGGCCTTTCCAAAGACATCTACATCGAGGGGGTTTAGGGTTTTAGGGTTTAGGGTTTGGGGTTTAGGAACTCTAGCTAGCTAGCTACGTACTATATTGTACCAGAATTAAACGGAAACCCATCTATTCGCAAGGCAGTGGCACATCACCTGAACTTTTCGAGACCGGGCACTGTGTTCAATGCATGTAACACAGCCAGCGGAGCATGAATTAAAACTATAGGCATGATGTACTATGCATCGTGCGCTGTGCATGATGGTGCACACCAAGCTCGATCAAGCTGTGTCGGGGAGCACTTACACGCGTGAGTCTCATGAGGGATCCGTCCATAGGGGTTGAAGGTTTGAGGGATATTACAGTGTAGGATTTATATAGCTCACCAGGCTAGTGTAGGTTCCTATGTCAGGTGTGAGCCGACATTTGTGTGCATGCGCAGACACGACCTGATCAGTGTAGCGGTGGCCCACCTATGCAAAATACGTTGTCGGGAAGCAACCTGCCCACTCAGCAGGAATGACTAAGCCTTTGGCTCCGTAAAGATATCTAAGCAAATCTGGAAGGCCAGCATCAGACCAATCATCCCGACCCATGTCCATAGTCTGAAGCTTTTGAATCGTCTTGACATCAACCATCGAAACATCACGAAGGGCCGGCAACCTGTTGAACTCCGGGAGCAAGCCCGCCATGTGGGCACCAAAGGAGCTGGTATAAGTCCTGGGCCAGTTTGCTTAAGATGTTATTGATTTAGTTTGATCGAGGCATAGTTGGTTGGTTTGGGCTTAGAATTGTCGGTCTGAACTGAGGCCACGTCTGGGTCGACTTCAAAGCAGCATTTCCTGTGAACCGCTGACGGCCATCCTTTCCAATCTTACGGTTGACCGGCTGAACAGCACCATGAACCCTCCGATGTTCAGCTTTGAAAGCCGCAGTGAGCCTTCCCCGCCCGAACTTTTGGATTTTGGGGTTGCTGCTCCACAGCACTGTCCGTTTAGGACACTGGTGGCCGTAGTGCATCATCCACATCCGGCACACGTAGACCTGCTGGCGAAGGCAGGGATTAAGTAAGGGCTGCAGTGAGGCCAGGTTTCGAAATATTTCGGTTCGACGTGGCGCAGGAAAGTAACATGTTTATGGCTGCAGCACTCTTTGGCCTTGTGCGTCGTGCAAAGCCACTGGAACCGTGGGTGGCGCCAGACTAGGGAGGACCCAGGCTGTTCGATGACCCATGTCATTTTCTTGGCCAAGCACAGAAGCGAAATCAGCACAGTCCTGGAAAGGCAGTGGGGCAGCGGGCGTTGCATCTCCTATGAAGGCAAGTCCGTATATAGGATAGAGTGGAGTGGGTTGCTAGGTTTTCGACAAATATTATTGCTTGGCAAGGACATTGTTCTAATGACCAACAACACCACACACAATTAAAACTAGGCTTGATTACTGGAGTTGTCCTGCAGAGCTGCTCGTTGCCCATGGCAACGAAGCGAAAATCTTGATTTCCCTGAGGATTCAAGAAACTTCTCATGCTTGTAGCCTTGCAGATCGATACCCAACTGGAGCACGGTAGCCCCTGCCACAATGTGCATCCTGACATCTTGCCTTTGAGAACCGACAGAAGATGTAACCTCAGATCTATTTGGAAACTGCAATTACTCTATAGTAGATTAACACTGCACACATTTGACGCACGTGGCACACACATGCGTGAGTGCACAGGACTGAGACCCGATCGCGAACCCAGCTGGAGTGCATACATCCATGGCACGGTGGCACACGATGTCCAGCTTAGCAGTGCCCCGATGCCCGAACATGTTGCCAACCTCCTCAGTCATGACCCCCTTCCCGGCATAGTGCTCCAAGAAGAAGAACTCCTGCGTGGAAACAAGATGATGTTTCGAACTCCGACTGCTAAAAAATCCCACATCGGTCCTGGCCCGAGGCAGCCATAAAACGATCATTGAAGACGAGGCACAGCACTGCGAGGATGAAGGCCTGACCCAGCTTTCGAATAATTCTGAATTGGGGGTATAGCAAAGGGGCATCAGGATACGGGTCTCTACGATAATTATTCTCCTATATAGTGATGCCGAATGGATACAACATGAATTGCGTGCAAATCCCAACAGGAAAGCCCCTGGCCTTCGGAGCTTGCACCCGTATGAGGTTGTCTACAAGCCGGTACAGCTCCATGGCCACACACACAAGGACCCGTGGGCAGCTGGATCCAACAAGTTGCTCAATCATCATGCACAGCTCAAGATGCAGACTGGACATGAAAGATTGCAGAAGCACATCATGCGATTTTGGGAGCCACAGACGACACAGTGAGGCACAACATGAATGTAATGTAAGGCAGCTGTGCATTATCTTCGTGCCTGACGACTCGAGAGTGTCTTCACTCTGGTAATCAGGACAACGTGCTCGGCCAGCTGGCATCTGGAGTCACCTGCGCACGGCAGTGAGGCTCAAATCCGGTCGATCTGAGTTGCACATGTGAATCTACAGCAACGACCAGGCAGAATCACTGTTCAGGTGCAAATGCAAGAGAGCAGCCAGCTATTTTGATTTCGACGGCGTTCGGATTGCTGCCAAGCATGCGGTGCATGCGGGGAACGGAATCTTCAAAAGGGATGGGCAGCTTGATGGAATGTGACTCAAACAGCTCGGTACCAATCTAATACAGACCGGCCTATCTAGAATCTAGAACTGTCCATTATTGCAAACCGTATAAACCCTATACAGACAAGGTAAGGTCTTAAAATGGTGCAAGTTTCACTGGTAGGCTGCCGACAGCGGTCAGAATCCTAATCAAGCTCGGTGCTTTAGTGCCGCAGAACGAGGTTCTTTGCCCCAGGTCCCCGTCCTGCAACCGTAGCTATGCCACTCGAATATCAGTTGGCGATGCTCCCCAAAATCGTCGTCTCGTATTTCTTACGAGTGGGTCGCTTGGCCCCATTAAACCATTTCTCACCTGTCGAAGACCACAGCTTGCCTTAATCAATCTTGCATTGCATGCGACATACCAAACATGTCCCCACAAAATTTACACTGATAGTTGCAGACAGACATGTGCTTGGTTCACACACATGCACTACATGCTGTCGAAAAACTGACATCTTCATCAGTCAAGAAGTCATAGGCCAATTGGGTCACGGGCTCGAGCCATGCATCCCCATCATCCACGACATACTCCTTCATCGCTTTGGCCACATAGCGCCAGAAAGCATCCTGCAGAGATTTTAGGTCAGACAGAACCATGCATGCTAACATACCAATCACAAGGACAATATGAACCCCAGCTTCAGCTACAGAAATCCTCCATCTTCGAATGGTGTGTCAAGAAGGACCGAATGCGCTCGTTGTAGGTGTCACGAATCGCAAAGAATTTCTTCTTGTAGTAATCCCTCTTGCCACAGTAGCGTCGTGCAAACGTTGGGGTCTCCTCTTCTTCCTGTTCCTCCCCCTCTTCCGGCTGATCCTCTTCTCCCTGTTCTTCCTCTTCTTCCTGTTCCTCCTCTTCTTCCTGTTCCTCCTCTTCTTCCTGCTCCTCCTCATCTTCCTGCTCCTCCTCTAGCTCTCGCTTCTTCTTGCCCTGTGCCGGCTTGCCCTTTGCCGGCTTTGCCGGCTCGCCCTTTGCCGGCTTACCCTTTGCCGGCTTTGCCGGCTCGCCCTTTGCCGGCTTGCCCTTTGCCGGCAAACCCTTTGCCTTTGCCGGCTTGGTCTTCGCCGTCGCCTTCACCTTGGAGCTGCTGCTGGCGGGGGGATTTTTCTTCTTAGCAGGCTTGGCAACCTCCTCCTCTTCCTCATCTTCTTCGGGCTCATCCCCCTCTGCCTCGTCGGCATTCTCGTAATACTCTGTGGCGTCGTCCCACTCCAAATCCTTCTTAACTCGGGTCCGCTTGTTCATGCGCTTGGCCACCAAGCGCCGTTTGGACACAGCCCGCTTCATTTTGCCGGCTTTCTTCTCCCGCACAGCGGGCTCAGGCTCCTCATGAGCTTCATCTGCCACCTTGCATTTCGAAGCTTTGGCCTTGCCCTTGGCCTTGGCCTTTCCTGAAGGCTTCTTCGCCTCGGCTGACTTCGTAGCTTTGCCACCCAAGTCTTCCTTGAACTCCTCTTCCGGCTTCTCATCCGTCTCCTTCGGCTTGGGAGCCTTCTTGTCGGTAGTCAAGGCCATCTGATGCTGCCGTGTCACCACCGTAGCAGACTCAGCTGATATGAACATGCATTGAGTGGCATGCAATCGTAACAGCATGCATGTGCCCATGCTTTATCACACGACAATGTAGCCGAGCTAATGCACAAATGCACTGGAGCTATCAATTCTACCCAGCAGCTGGCGCCCCAGGCTCGAAGCGCTCCCTCTTCGTGAGTCGCTCTTCCAGAGCCCGTTCCTCCGCACGGCGTTTGGCCCTGTCATCTGCCAAAGCTGCTTCCACTTTGGCTCGATGCTCGGCTCGCTCACTCTCCATCCATGATTTCACATAGTCCTCTGGCTCCGGAACCCAGTCTTGGGTCTCCAGCTGGTCGACCCCTGTACCTCGCAATCTGGCTTATTTTGCAGCTAGGATTTTTTGAAGCTTCCCACAAGCCCATAGTCACATGAAGTCATTCACACACACACACACACACCCACATGTACCCAGCCTGAACTTGCACTTGCAGTGGTCGAACCCTCCCCTTCAACATCAGAGCCGTCAAAAAGTTTGCGCTTCGTGGGCTTGTCATCAGCCGGCGCAAGTCCCTTGGGCATGACATCTTGCCTGAGCTTTCATCGGTTGGAGAATAATCTCGAGTTTCGATGCATGGATGACTTCAGGCTAAACACAGCAATCATGCCCAGTTACAGCTTCATGTTCACAACTGCAAGGATTTCTTTAAGCCTGGCCGGGTCCATGGACGAAAGTTGCTGAGCCAGGCTTGGCGTGGCAGGAGATTTTGTGCGACCAGCCGAAGCGGGAGCCGGTAGGAAGGAAACGATCTCGACCTTATGTGGAATTTGCATATCTGCCATGAACCAGATGCACATGAAAGTATTCCAGAATCCTACCCAACTCAGATCATACAAACTGCACACCCGATTCAAGCAAGGCTCGCCGGGGCTTCCGGGAGACAGAGGGTCGGGCTTGGCACCCTCCTTTCGGGGAGTCGTCCTTTTCATGTCGTCCGGAAGATCATCAAAGGACATCAAAACCTGGCTCAAGATGCCAGGATCCACATGGCCTGGCACCGTACCGTCCTCTTCCGCAGCCACCACGGCTGCGACGTCCGTGGCCTCACCTGCCTTTTCGGCCTCCCCGGTCTTAGTACTGTCGTCAGCACCTGTCGATGCCCCCAGAGCTCCCTCTTGGGCTTTCTGATCCTTCAGTAAGCGTCTGTAGGACTCGGGGTTCAACGAGAAGCCAAGCACCTTTTCCAGCTCCGCTTGCGGCGGGGCAGTCAAGCATTCCTCGAGTGCCCGCGAAGATTGCGAGCCTGAACTCTTTGCCATGCTGTGAAGACCCTCCCGTAGGGATGCATCATCAGCCATATCGACACTATCCTCGTCACACGAGGCTGCAAGGCCCTGCTTGATCTTCGGTGACCGCTCTAGTGCACAGCGGCCCTCCTAGATTGAGCACAGATGGGGCATCGACCAGCATATCAATCTAGTTCACCAAAGAGCACAAGACAACACGACGACAAAAAATGTATTGCACTTGCTAGCTAAAGCTTCCGAGTAGGCTTTTGAGACTGCTTCGGCCATGTCAAGCACCATTGCACGCACCTCGTCTTCCTCGTTGGATTTCTATTGTTCAGCTACTTTCATTACTTTCGAAAACGACGAACACCTGCATCATGTATATATGCATGTACATGCTTGAGAAAATTAGCCACTAGAGTTCATATCCACGGCACCCGGGGCAGCTCCCACTTGCTCCACTTTCGTTTGATCACCGTGAGCATTGACTTGATGGTGTCAGCTGTCTTCGACATATTTCTGGATCTTCTTAGCTTTGCTTCCATGGTCTCAGGCACATCATTGTCATCGGCCCAAACTTGTCCCTCACGCTTGTAGAATTTCGATAAAGCTTCTTTGATCAGATGAATGGGCTTCCTGATTCTTCCGGTTTCGGCCATGACCCTGGTGAAAGGTCTCAGAAGGCATGCATTGTATTTGATGTTCTCGAGGGACGGGGCAACGTGTGCTCTTCCCTTCTCATCCTGAACCAGCATCATACGTGATTGCGCTCGCTTTCGTAGGCGACGATGCTGTTCCCATTTGGGGACGCATGCCAAGAAAGAAATTTTCCCCATGTGCGAAAGATCAGGTGGAAACAAATTTCTTTGAACCCGACAGCGACACATTCTATACATGTTTTGCATGGAATGCATGCATGTTTCTGCGACCAAACAGTTGACAAGCTAGTTTCAGCATCAAAGCAGAGCGGGGGAATCGCACCTTGATCCCCGGTGAGGCTGCAGACGACGACGAAGACCACCATCATCGATCCTGGCCAGAACACGCGGGAGGATCTAGCCGCAGAAATTGGCAAAAAGTCCGAAGCGTGCCGGTCACACCATCTCCCAAGCTTGTAGCTCTTCGGAAGAATCGGCAACAAGTCCACATCAGAGCAAGGGCTTCAAGGGTTTACTTAAGCTAGTGGTTCATGTGCAAGATTTGGGGCAGTCTTATTATATGATGCTACAATCATGCAAGCATCTTTATAATCATTCGACAGCGAGCTTCTGCTCTACACATCACTTTGACTGGAATTGCGAATATTCGATTGGAGCATCTTATAACGCAAGCTTACCATCGACATGTCCTTCGAGAAACTGATCTGGCGAGGCCTGCGCAGCATTTCTTGGGGTTGCGGGTCAGTGCAACTGTGGGATTTCAGAGATGCCGCCCTGAAAGATTTCAGGTTTCAGGGTCCCTGCCCTGAAATACAGTAGCCCCCCCCAGAAACAGGCGTTGGCTTAATTCGTGAGCGTTTACAGAACCTACCAGTTATAAACAGGCGTTCGCTTTCACAGGTATACATACATTATATATCATGTATTTATTTGCTATTATTTTTATATGCCTGCAGACAGTTAGATGTATACACGTATGTGTTAGTCGCGGGTTGCGAAGCTGCGACAGGTCATGGACAAGCTCATCCAGGCACGACGCCAGGGGTTTTTCCAAGCCAGACTGTTGAGGCCATAGCTGTGGGGGTTTGGAGGGGAGGGACTATCTGGTGACTATCTGATACGACTTGAATCTTTAGGCTCTGAGTTGTGTGCCAGGCAGGGGCCGAAGACGACGAGGTGTGGAGCTTGCGAAGGGTTCGAATCGGAGTTTGAAGTGCCAATCATCTGTGCTTCCGTATGGTTTTGCTACAAATGATTACATCGCCTTCTTATTAGCGAAATAGTTGGTATGATGGTACCCTCCCGCGATCGGCAGGAGGAGGAGGACTCTGCCGTGCCCTCATCGGCCTCGTGGCATGTGCTGACACTTGTGTGCTCAGCCGCCTGCGATGCTTCCCAAAGCCTATGGCAGGGTCCATCGCCCAAGCAGCAAGTCGCTCCCAGGTGGTGAAGAGCCGCAAGAAGCGAGTGAGGCCTTTGCTTCGGGATCCGTTCCGAACAATCGTGGGGTTCAGTTGCTTCGAACATGTCGCAGCGGCAGGGCGGAGACCGTGAATCAGGAGGATCTAGCCCACGACCCAGCTTCGCAACTTGAGGGCTTCGCGGCACCAGGCCAGAGTCGGGCTTGGCTGGCATCGTGGGATCAGGAAAAAGCAGCTGCTTTGGCGGTGCTGGACGATGATGACGGCCTGACGGAGGAGGACGTGGCTGTGTTCGCATCCCCATCTTCGCACAGTTCTGAAAATGCCAGCCTTCTGATTCCACGATCGTTTCGGGATCTCGAGACCAATCGATGCATGTGATGCGAGTCATAGTGCCGGCAGCATCAAGCATCCAGGGAGCCCTTCTGTGCATCTGTCTGCATGTCTGCGTGTAGTGGATAGCGTATCTCGGACCTAGTGGCGTGTTTCCAGAGGAGCAGCGCCGTGCTGGTGCGCATGAGCGGCTCAAGGAGGTCCTGGTGCTTGCCCCAGATCTCGTGACAGTCTCGCTGCGCCCACCACGCTCCAGTTGGAGACTTGAGATGCAACTGAGTTGTAGCACACAGTTTTGTCCCGTTGAAAGCAGATGCAGTGGATGGTTTTCGGCACAATTCCGTTGCGCGCACGGTCGCGGGGTCGTCGGGGTCGTCCAATGTATGTACGTGAGTCATACGTGAGCTATGTCACACTTGCATCAAGAGCTCGCTAGGAATTTCTGGACAACATGCATGGTCGTGGTGGTGTCCGATGTGTCTCTGAGCTATTCCACACTTGCCACATGCACTAAGAGCCTGCTTGCACAATTTGGACGCCTTGCATGCTGTTGCGGTCGATGAGTCTAAAGAATGTGTGAGCTTTTTGACACTTACCACAGGTATGAACAGCCCGTTTGGGCATAGTGGACAGCATGCATTGTGCTGCACTACAGTCGTGGGGACGTCCACTGCATGTGTGAGCTATGCCACGCTTGCCACACGCATGAAGGGTTTGTTTGGCCATTTGGGACACCGTGCATACTGTTAAGGTCGCGGACATGTCTAGTGTAGATGTGAGCTATTCCAAATTCCACAGTCTGCTACGCAGGGCTGGCAATATGAAATTCCAGAGCAGCATCAAGGGCAATTTTGCTAGCACATCCTTTACAGAGTAGGTTCTCAGGGTAGAGGGTACGGCAGTCCGCGCGCATGTAGCAGGACAACGGCGAAGACCGAGTCACACATGAATGATTTGATGGTCAAGTGCTTTGGGCGGGCGTCGATGATCCTTCACCTGAGGATGGGACAGCACTGACTCGAGATCTGGAGGCCATCAGCATCCTGAAACCCATGAAAGCCATTCAAAGCCTGAAATTGATGATCAGAGGTTTTTGGAAATGCTTGTTTTGGTTGGAGATTTGATGTCCGATCCGGGGAGGCTGCCTTGGAGGAGGCAACGCAGGCCCAGGCCAGGCCCAGCTCCGGGTGCTTGGCTTCCTCCTCGTCTCCGGGCGGCTTTTGTGGCTTTTCTCCTGCTTTGAAGTCTACGCTTGCGGAGCCTGCGCAGCTGCGCAGCTGCGAGGTCGAAGATGAGCCTTTGCTCTTGACGGCAAGATCTCGACTGCAAGATCTGAAGGACCTGACGTTGCTCTTACTGTAGTGTTGGTGGGGTCACACGCCTTGGACGGCAAGGATCGGGACGATGCAAGCGACCACCTCATGGCAGCTGTGGAAGAGCCGGGCTCCAAAGACAGCGTAGCGTCTTCTCCAAATCCTGGCTGCAGCTGTTTGCCGCGTAGCTCCCAAGGGCCCGCCAGGGCTGCCGCGGCCCTGAAAACCTTCAAACTTTGCAGGAGGCGCTTCGGTCGGCAAGCCTTTTCCTGCTTGGCCAACGTTGCCGTCTCGCTTGCAGGCGCTCGAAAAGGCCAAGGCGAAAGGCGCTCGGCTCCACACTGGAACAAGGAGTTGCTCCCAGCTGTGGAGAGATCCTGTGCTCTTCAGGCGTCGCGGAGAAAGAGCTACAACACGGCGAGCAGGCACTGGCATCCCTTTGCCTGTCTGGCCGAGCTTCTGTCTTCATCTTCCCGCAGGTCTTGGCCGAGGAGATGCCCCGTGCGCAGGCCGAGTAGGGAGAGCAATTTCGTCAGAGACACGTCCGTCGCTACTTGGCCGGAGCTCCGGAGCTCGTGTCCTTGCAGAGAGGCTCGGCAGCAGCTGAGAGACGCCCAAGCCAAAGGCAGCAGCCGGCTTCTGAGCCAAGGGCCAGCCACGTACGTGAAATCCCTGGCAGCTATATGCACTACATCTGCGATGTGTTCTATGGGTAGTGGTATGTATGTAAAGATCATGTATTCGCGATTTGCCTTGCACTCATATTGTGCGCACGCACACACACCCACACACCCGCCCACCCCTGTATACAGACATGTGCATGAACCTTAACAGCCGAGTCTCATCTCGAGGTGCCTTGCGAGAGGCCATCGCTTTGGCAAAGGAGGCCCGCCTCCCCGGCGAAGAGCTCCGACCTTTCGAGGAGCCCCAGGGTGTTTCTGGCAGGCAAACAAGTAATATATATATATATATATGTATATGTATACATACTGGAACAATGTACTGTACATATGTTTGCAGGATTACAATTTACGGCGACATCTCTCGGCAGTTTCTAGACAAAAGGCAGACTGAGTCTTAGATGCTCCGCTTGTCCCTAAACTCTGCGAGCCCTAAGCCCCTGAGGAGCTGCTTTCTGGCGCCGAGTCCAAGGAGGCTGCAGCAGCCAGGTGCCGAGGAAAGCTGGAGACCATGGATGTTTTTTTGTGGGTTCAGGGCCTTAGAATTGTTAGCGACAGGGTTTCGTGGCCTTTGTGGTTTCAGGGACTTGGGATAATCTTGGGAGTAGCGGGCTTCTTCGATAACTGTACCTTCTAATCTTTCCGCCCATCACATGCCCCTTTAACATCACCGTAAATTGACAGGACCTCGAGAGGTTTTGCCTTGGCAGACCCGGGCGAGCCGAGGCAGCGCTGAAAAAGGCGACGGACGCCCGAGACGTGGCCGCTCTCACCTTCGCCCTCCAGCAGGCCAAGTCAAGAGCGGCTCAGAAGCTCAAAGCCTAAGAAGCCTAGCAGGGCCTAGCAGGGCCTAAAAACGTTCGCTTTTTGATTCAAGGAAGAAGAATGCGGTAGGTTGGCCATGATCTGAAGGGCTGAACTTCGTGGCTTCAAGCTGCTTCAAGCTGGAAGGCCAAAGAAGCTGGCGTCGACCCCGAGCTCCTGGCAACCTCCGAGGCGGTTTTGGCCGTCGAGGACCACAGGGCCTTTGTATAACCTGTCTAAACGCAGGTTGCGGGGTTAGTCTCGCATGCCTTTAGGGACGAAGTCGTGAGTTGTTGTTGGAGAGTCCGATTTCCTGTGCCTCTCTGCCTCTCTGTGATTTGGGAGGCTCCCAAGCAGGAAGCTCGCGAGGCGCTGGCGACGCAGCTGGCCAAGGCCGGCCTCGCGCAGTGAGCGTGAGCCGCAGTCCTCACGGAGGGGCGGGGCAGCTGTGGTCACCTTCAGGTGCACGCCGCAGGGGACAAGGGCCCCTCGCTGGAAGAGCTCACTGTGCCCGGGCCTCCTTCGGACGGTGTCGATGTGATCCTTAGCTTTGCAAGACGAAGCGATGGGTTGAGGCTCGACTCGGCCATCGAAAGGGCCCGTGCTGTGGAGCTGGCCGCCCAGTGACGGCACGGCGCTGCGGCGCTGCTCCTGCTCGGCTGAGCTGCCGCCAGAAAGGGAGAAAGAGAGAGGGCACCTTTTCCTCCAAGGCTCCCGGAAGCTGAGCAGCGACCTCAAAAACGGGCCGCACTCGGCCGCGACTCGGGAAAGCGTGAGTGTCCCCCAAAACTGCCTCCTTCAAACTCTGAGGTTCGCGCAGGCCTTGGAGATTTTGGCACAGGAGCAGCAGCGTGCCATGTGCAAGAAGGAGGCCGGGAGACACGTGGGAGACGTCCTGCGAGCTCTGGCGAAGCTTCTGCACACGTTTGTGGCAGGTAGCGAAAGTGGTGGAGAAGCTGAAGGACGTCGACCGGAACAGCTTCTTGCGGCCTGTTTGGCCTGGGGAGCCACAGAGATCCGCAGAGGACTGTCTCAAAATTGACAAGCCCTGCCTTCGCCCCAGGCATCAAACACTCTGGGGCCAATCCTCCCGAAATCATCTCTGCCCTTCAAAACCTAATTTGCATTAGGGGAGTCCGCAGCGCGAGCAGGCAAGAGCAAAAGCAACAGCAAAAGCAAGAGCAGCAGAAGCACGAGCAAGATCCAGCTAAAGCGACAGTAGAGATAAAGATGCCCCCTGATAATAGTAACACTGTCCGACTTTTCATTGGGGGAGGGCGGCCCCCCCATTGCTATCATTAGTATTGGGGGGCAGGGATTACAGGTGTTGTCAGAGAGAACCTCCCCGGTGTCGGTATCTGTGCCGTCGAAGTTTATGAAGGCCCATGTGTCGGTCACTTGCCAGGCATGGAGGCCTTGGAGGAAGCCAAAGAGGACACCGAGACGTCCTGAATGCCCTTGCAGAGTTGCTGAGTCAAAGCTTCAACTGGAATTTGCTCACGGAAGATGCACAGATGAACAAAGACCATCATGTTATCATTTGTACACACACATGGAGGAACTATTCAACGCCCTCTTGGCCGCCAAGGCCTTCTAAGACCGGAGGGCACCAAGAGTTTTCAGGGTGACTGGCCGTTCCTTGTCAGGCCGTCGAGGTGCCGTCCGCTGCCCTGCGGGAGGCCGACGGCTTGCGGAGGAGGCGTGGAGTCCTGGAGCTTCGAAGAAGGGTTTCAGGCTTAGGCCGTTCAGTGCTTTTGAACAGCGTTCACAATAGAGCTTCCAAGAGACTATGCAGATTCACCATCGAATGTCTAAGATATACAGCATACGGGCGCATGTTCGTGTTTCTATATTAATTGCTTCCAAGCTAAAACCTAAACTCTCGGTCGCCGGCAGCCCTTTGCAGGATCCACAACGCCTTGGAGGACTTGAAGGGGTCGATTCGCGTCTTCTGCCGCATCCGGCCGATCAACAAGCCACGCCGGCTCTGTTGGGGAACACAGCGGCTTTGTCGTATAAAAAGTGCAATGGGAATGCATCTTGAGATATGTGACGTGATATACAGTGAGACGACGGGTTGTCGTCTGTGCCAGGCGTGAGAAGGAGCTCCAGGACGTGGATGCCGGGGCCCGAATTGCATCTGTTGAGGAGACCTCGGGGCTTGACCTGATTCCTTTGAGGTGACGGAGCTCGTAGACTCGATGACCGTGAACACTCAGAAGCCCTCCTGCCACCCTCTCAGTCTCAGAATGCCTGAATTTTGCAGTACCCTCCCGCAGAATGCCCAGAACTCCGTGCTCAGATGGCTCGATTGCAAACGACCCGGAGCAGTTCAACTTCGATGCCGTCTTCAAGCCCGGCACGCAGGCCGGGCCTTAGGCACGGGACAAGCCTGGGCATCCGAAACTGGTAATTAATTATCAATTATCGTAGAAGGCGTGCCGTCCAAAGGTCTTTTTTTAAGAAATGCAGGGGCGGTGCACCTTGGAAGTCTTTCCAGGCAGAGGTCTTCGACACTTGCAAAGACTTGGTTCAGTCAGCCTTAGATGGCTACAACGCCCCAACCTCATGGCATGTCTTTGTCCTTACACTCTGGAGGATCTTTCGATTCTGATTCGGGTCCATTCCGGCTGAGGTGGCGATGTTCGCATATGGGCAGACGGGCGCTGGAAAGCAGTGGCCACAACATCTTATGCCGAGAGAAGACCTCTGACGAGTCGTGTTTTGAGGACCTTCACCATGTACGGCAGCATTGGCCCCAGCCCGCAAGTCTACGTCCACCAGTGCGAGGCAGCGCAAAGCAAAGCTCGCAGGTGGAACTGGGGACAACGCAGGCACGGCTCCACGGACCATTGCCGAATTGCCGGTGCCTCATCAACCGAGCGGTGCAGTTGGGAAGTGGAGAGCACCGAGGTACCGCTTGATGAAGCAAGACGAGGATCGAATTCAATTCACGGTGCCGCCCCGCAAGCGGTGACCTGATGCTTTCTTGACCTTGGCTGCCCGTGACTTTCTCGCCGATCAGCTTTCGGCCCTTAGTAGCACATCGACTGCACAATAGTCACATATAGTCAAAGACAGGAGAAGCCAGTAGAACGTCAAGCGAGCGGAATCTCCAACTGCTGGACTCAGACATTTCCCGACCGAGGACTCTGTCGAAGATTGCTTCGTAGCAGACACCAGTCCCCAGCTGACCCCATCCGACATTCACTGCATCGTTTTTCGGATGCAATCCACTGCTTTCCTTGACAGCTCCTTATTGGCGTTCCCCATGCTCGAATCTGGCGATGGCATCGCAACTGTGCCGGAAGAAGTGGTGGCACCGGAGGCAGATTTGAAAAGGGCATTTATGCTAAAGAAGTTGAGAGTGCTTCAATTGGCGACAAGCAACAAAGGTTGCCTTTTTTCGCATTATCCTGTGCCAGTTTGTTTGGGCGCCGCTTGAGGTCGCGGCGTCTGCCAACAACGGTACATAGTACATGGGTTGCAGCAGTCTCCTGTGCATGCCAGGGCCGCCATGTCGAGACCACTGCGGTTGCCTTAGTTTGGCTCAGAACGCTGGGCATCACCAAAGTCTTGACCTGCAGCCTGAGGTTTGTTGCTGCCGTAGCGCAAACATCTCATGCAGCATCGTCAGCAGCAGTGTATCGCGAGGATGATCGCCAGCATCCTGATGATGATCATCATCATCCATCACCATCACCACCACCGACACTTGAGCTTATCGTAGGCTTCCGTCAGCGTAGGCCACTGGAGGAGTTGAGCAATAGCCCTTCCACCCGGCATTGCCAGTTCTTCCTGCAGCACCGAATCCTAACAAAATGGTAGGTCTTGGTCTCGTACAACTAACTACAATCCATAACAGGCAAAGATGGTCGGTTCTGGGATTCCCACCACGTAGCCTTACGTTTCCTTGACGTATATAAGGTTGCTGGGCATTTTCCTTGGCCTTGGGGCTGCACCTCCGAGGGGCTTCCTGCGCCTTGACCTCAGAGATTCTCAGCAGCACAGGAGCGAGAGAGAGAGAGAGAGAGGCTTAAGGGGCCACCAAGCTGATGACGTAACCTTGGTAGTTTAAGGCGTAGCGCAAACTTGTTTTGCATAGCCGCAACTTTTAGGCTTACATTGTTTAGGATGAAGTGTCACTGGTGTCAGAGCGAGCCCTGCTTGGAGCCCCGTGTAAATAATCAAGACTTTGTGAGTTGCGCTGTTTGCAGAGAGGTCGATAGGCTCCGGGGGATCGCAAATCTGATTCCAGTAGCTCAGCACCCAAACTTGCTAAATGAGCTTCGTGTCTTCAACGCGCGTCTTAGGGACTGGACCTCAAATCGTTTTGGAGGCCCCCCTGCAGACTATCAAGCCTTGCCTGCTCAGCCCGAAGTTTCTTTGTCCCAGAGCATCAAAAGCCGTCCTCCTGAACCCACGGGGCCTCCGCCTAACTGGGTGCGTAGTGTCGCTCCTGGTGGCCATAGTCTCCCCGCGCTGCCGCGATCAAGACCTTCTTCGGGGGCTGGGCCTGTGGGAACGCCAACTGCTGCTGCGACTGCACCTGTGGAAACTCCAGCTGCTACTACTACCACATCGGGTTCAAAGCGTAAGCGTGAAAAGAAAAAACAAGGTAGGCAGCGAGAGTCTTGGAAGAGTGCCCGGTCAGCGATTTATCGAGCTCGTGAACATCCTATCGGCGAGGAGGTTTCCGACGAGGAGAGTGATCCGAATCTTCATTGATTCTCACCTACACCTTATTGCTTATGATGCCTCCCAGGGTTTTGAAGAAGCCAGGGTTACGAAGGCGAGGTTTTGAACAAGGTGTTCGCTCAAGAGTGCGAATTTTCGGCAAAGGGAAATCTTTCGATTACAAGGGTCGATTACAAAGGGGTGAAAGCCTCGAGATTGCCGAGATCCCACTTACATTCTGGAAGCCAGGAGGTGAGTATTGTCTGTTGGGAGATTATTTGGGAAAACATACCTTGATCTTTGGTGAGCTGGAGCGCGTGAGCATTGAACGGAGTGGCTCTTATTTGCAGTTAATTGTGAGAGGGAGTGACAACCCAGAGTTGGTGAAATGGTGCGAGACCGAAGCAGAAGGAGGATTGGTTCCCGAAGTCCACGTTCACCTTTGCCCCGCCGGTTGCCCCCGGACATCAATCGGTCCGAACACCCTTCACGGACAACAGCTGGTCCCTTCAGACCCCGCAGCCCCTTGGTTAGGAAACGTGCGAGCTTTTCAGGTGAAGGCCCAGGGTGTCGGCAGGAGGTTGGACGAGGAGTTGGCAGCTATAGCGGGGGATCAAAGGACAGGCGCCGGAGGGGTGAAAGATTTGGTGGATGCCTCCGTGGGGAAGAGAAAGAAGAACTTGACAGGAGACCATTCCTTCGAGGGGAGCCCCTTAGACCCCCAGCTCTCATTGAAGCAGGCCTTGAAAGGCACTCGCAAGAAAGAGAAACGGAAGAAGAGAAGGAAAGGGAGGAATACGAGGAGCAGGAGCAGCCGAGACTGCAGCGACAGCAGCAGCAGCGAAGACGAGAGTTCCGGGGGTTCGGAAGATCCAGGTCACCCTTTCAAGGATTCGCATCGTATTCGGCGGATTTCCAAGCGAGCTCCGGGTGCCTTGGTCAGACACGCCCTCGAGGAAGTCAGCAGGTTATTGGTGGAGAGTCTGGGAGAGGAGCAGACGATGAAGATAAGGCCCTTTCTCCTCAAATACACAAGACTGCACATCATGAACAAGTCGCTTTCCCCAGCACAGAAGAGAGAGGTTTTGACTCTGGTGCATTGCCTAGACAAGTTGGTTCTTGACCGAGGCCCAAGAAGCCACGAAGTCCTTCAGAACAGAGTTCAAGGTTACGCGGGACTTGGGGAAAGGGGGCAGGCCTTGGTATCCGAAGGGCGATGGCAAAGGGAAGAGCACAGGGAAAGGAAAGGAAGGAGTGAAAGGATTCAAGGGAGGATCAAAGGACCCGGGAGGAGCACCGCGCGTGGATCCAGTGCGCCCCCACTGAAGCACCATATCCCCGGCTCTCCTCTTCCTCGGAGGGTAGGGGGTCCCGGTGTTTCTGCTGCTGGGCAAAGGAGTGGACCCTTGGCCCATGCAGCAGTGGGGGCCGAGCCGCTTGTCAGCAGTGAGAGGTTGGACGATGTATCAGGCGCAGCCGCTCTGAGTTCGAAGTTGCTGGGTTCTTCTCTTTTGGATTTGGTACTGGGCAGATGCTTGCAGAGTTCTTTCGGCATTTGGTCGAATAATTTCTGCGAGGGTACAGAAGGTCTGACGGCTGGTAAAAAAGTGATCGTGAAGATGTTTTTCCCTTGCCCCTGCCTGGACCAAAGTCCTTACCTGTTTCACTCGTCAAAGATGACCCTGAAGCTTCATGGATGTTTATGTTGGTGGCAAGCCTAAACTACATGCATGGTGGCCAAGACTCTTCTTTTGCAGCTTGGCCGGGAACTGCGTTACAGCAGCAAATCATATCCTATTTGCGCAGCCGGGTATGCCTTTTTATTGAAAACGAATTCACTATTGAAGAGGTTGATTGGGATGAGTTTTTTAAGGTCAAAAGTATTTCTTATTCAGGCGAGGAGGTTAAAGTGGCACGTTGGACCAAGTGGGAGAACATCAAGCCAGCGCTCCCGTATGGACATATTGCCAGTATTTCAGCATTGGATTTGGCCGAGGACGGCGTACGTGATCTATTGTTGCATCCAACCAAGTACTTGAAACCTGATTTTGACGAGCATCCAATTCGTCCCTCAAGGGTTATGGCACAGGATGAGGATTGGGGGCCTTTGGCTAGGGGTTTGGTTCAATACGACCTTTGCGCCATACTTCCTCGCTCCGCTTTGGTTACTGCGGGAGGTGAGCCTTTGCACAACGGTATGTTCGGAGTAGAGAAGGGGGAAGAAAAGATGGTATTTCCATTCACCGTCTCATCATGCATCTCATTCCGCTCAACTCCGTTTCCCAATCAGTTGAGGGAGATGTTGGTACTCTACCACTACTTTCCCAGATGAACTCTCTTCAACTCCACCCGGATGAGCACCTGGTTGTCTCTTCTGAAGATTTGAAGTGTATGTTCTATCTTTTCAGTATGCCTTCGAGCTGGTTACCGCTATTGAGTTTCAATCGTCCGGTTCCTGATGATTTGGTCCCTCCGCACTGCACAGAACCCTGCTACTTGTGCGAAGGTTCTTCCGATGGGCTGCCTAAATTCAGTGGGGGTGGCTCAACACTTGCATCGAAACCTTATTCGAAAGGTTCAGGGCGGACCCACTCGAGTGTTGTCAAGCGCGGAGATACGGAAGGATTGACCGGCCACTTGCGCCAATCCTATGTGGAGGGTTTACTTGGACAACTTTGACTTATTGGAGAAAGTCAGCCCCCACATGAGTTCATTGCTTGAGGGGAGGATCTCACCTGATTTGGAGCCACTTCTGGACGAATACAAGTCAGTCAGGCAATCCACTCATGCCGAAGTCCAGGGGGCGGAAATTGACGGTGTCTCTGGCTTGGCAAGGCCGAAGAAGGAAAAGTTGAGCCATTATGTGGGGGCTATTCTGGGTTTGTTGAAGAAAGGAAAAAGCACACAAAGACAGATGCAAGTTGTCTGTGGTGGTTTGGTATATGTTGCCATGTTCCGGCGGCCTTTGATGAGCATTCTGAACTACGTTTGGCGCTTTATCCACAGCTTTGACCTTTGTTCTCACCGGGTTCTCACTCTTCCTTCAGGTGTCATGTCGGAGCTCCTCATGTTCCTTGGTCTCCCGCCTCTGGCCCACATGGACTTTCGAACTGAAGTGTCAGGGGTTGTGACTGCCAGCGACGCCTCTTGCTTAGGCGGAGGGATCTGTGCATCAAGTGGTATCACCCCGTTTGGCTTACAAGTCTCCAAATCTGGTTTCAGGGGTGACTACGAACCAGATGTACCTGACGGTGGAATCGTCTGCATTGGCTTAAATGATGATCTCAGCTGCCTGAGGGTAGCCTTGGAGCTCTTGAGGTCAAGAATGCTGCTTCACGTTTCAGTTGGCCCGGATGAAGCTGCCAAGCGAGTCGTCGAAAGTCATTTCCCCGATGTAATCTTCATTGACGATGTGGATTCTATTTCTGACGCTCTTTGTGTGGAATGGGCCGGAAAGGCAAGCAATGCTCAGTTGGTCTTCGTTGGCTCAGGGTGTATGGGGGCACGGGACAGGGTTGTTACCCAACTCAAAACCGTTGTCCACAAGCTCAAATCTGTTTTTAGCTGGTGCCCAGTCCACTTCTTTCAGGAGAGTCTTTTCAGCGTGGAGCCTCACGACCGGTCCGTTATGACCAAGGAAGCCCAGGTTTTGCCTTACAAGGCCTGTTCTAGTGGCCTTTCTTTGGCCCGCCGTGAGACCGTCACCGCTTTCCACCTTACCAGTACCAGGACGGCAACCTCGTTTGGAAAGGAATGGAAGCTCGTACCCCCTCGGTTCATGAGCGCGAGCGCATCATGGGGCTCCCAACGGATTTTACTTTCAACTGCCTCAACAAGTCTGATATCAAATCTCGCGCTCAGTTACACGATGATGTCCGCCTCGCTTTGATTGGCAATGCTTGGTCGATTCCAGTGGTGGCCTTTTTTCTTTTGCAGCTTCTTTCACCTCTCAACCTCTGCCTCGTTCACCTCTTCTCAGATGCTTTGGACACTCTGTTCAAAGGGTCCTCCGCCTAGGGAGCGGCTCTCCTCTGCTGGAGGGCCCTCCATCAAGACCCAGGTGTTTTCGCCCCAGAAGGATTGTTGGCCCGAAAGCTCCTTAGCCAAGTGTCCTCAAAAGGAGACGATGTCCTACTTCAAGTCGGTGCGGATACCCGTTCGTACCAGCGTTTTCGCAACTCGATTCCAGCCTCGCTTTGGCGCTGGCGCGAAATTTGCAGGTGGAAGTGGCCTTCCCCCCAATTCGGACCACATAAACAAGCTGGAACTTCGGGCGATATACACTTCTTTGCGATGGCGCATTTTGCGCAAGCGACATGTGCGAATGAGATTTCTCCACTTAACTGATTCCATGGTCTGCGTGCACATTTTGAACAGAGGCCGCAGCAGTTCTCGTAAAATCCAGTGCCTCATGAGCCGCTTGAGTTCCCTTTTGTTAGCTACTGGCGCGCATCCTGTCATTGCTTATATCTCCACCCATTCCAATCCGGCCGACAGGCCGAGCCGTCGAGCTCGCGCGAATCGCAGATGGGGAAAGTGAAGGTCCTGCCAAAGGGCCGAACTAAGCAAGACAGGAAACAGTTGCGCCAAACTTTAGGAACTCTCCGCTCCTTGACAGTAGCCCCGAAAACCCGGGAGCGCTACGACAAGGCTCTTCAGGCTTTTTACTTTTATGCCAAATGCATGGGGCAGCGCATTCCCGATGATGCTTTGTCTTTGGACCGTTTGTTTTCCCAGTACATGGAACACTTGTGGCATGAAGGGGATAGCCTTTCGCTTGCAACAGATGGGCTGTCAGGGCTCCAGGATCTCCGACCTTCTCTTAGAGGCTGGCTGGCTCTCTCTTGGAGATTGGTTAAAACATGGCAGAAGCGTGAAATGCCGGACAGGGCACCTCCACTGCCTGAAGACTTGCTGCAAGCCCTGGCTGGGTGCTTGTTGCTTCAAAACCAGCCGGAGATGTCATTAGCGCTTCTAGTCGGCTTTTACTGCCTTTTGCGCACTGGAGAGCTTCTGGCCCTTCAGGCTTGCCATGTTCAGATCAGTCCAAAGCAAGACTTTGCCATCTTGAACCTCGGCTTTACTAAAACCTCCCAGCGCACTGGAGCTGAAGACTCCATGACTTTGCGGGTGGACTTCGTATGCCGTGCGCTGGCCAAGTGGAAATCTCAAGTGTCACCGAACACTTTCCTTGTCCCGTTCTCTTCGTATCTTTTTCGCCAGCAATTCAGTCAAACTCTCGCAAAGCTGGGCTTGTCGAACTGGGCCTTTCGCCCTTACAGTCTCAGACGGGGTGGAGCGACCATGTATTTTCAGAAAAACCCTTCTTTCGACTCTGTGCGCCAGCTCGGCCGATGGGGTTCGGACCGAACCGCCCGCATCTACATCAATGATGCCGTCGCTCGCCTCGCAGAGATTTCTTTTGACGTTTCTCGTCCTCCACTGAAGACCCCTTTCCTTTTCTTCCGGCGCACGTTGCGGCTTGATCGCTTTGCAACACGTGGGGGACTTGGATGAGAGGGGGCTCTGCTAAACAACCGGATTTAACAGGCCTTTAGCCAAAATCCTGGCTGACAGGTTTGGTCCTACAGCAGCAGGTCTTAGTAGAGCCCTCTTTCTGTCTTTCGAGTGCGCAGCTTGATGACCCACTTAGACTTGTAAGGGTATCGGAGATGCCCGTGCAGCATGTCGTCTCGAATTGTAAGCTGCACCCTGGGTCGCCAAAGCTTTTGGCTGAAGACTTGTAATATAGATTTGTAAAAACAGCCGAAGCAAACTTTCGAAGGTAAAGGGGTCGCTTAGCCAAGTTTTTTTCGGGTCGCTTAGCACGCTCCATTTTGGGTCGCTTGGCACGCTCATGTTCACAGGTGTTGGAAGCCCAACAAAGGTTATCTAGTAGATGACTAGTTAGTGTTATCACGCCCACCACAGGTTATACTAATTATACTAGCTACCCTAAACCCTAAACCCTAAAAGGAAACCCGAAACCCTAAACCCTAAAAGGAAACCCCAAACCCTAAAAGGAAACCCCAAACCCTACCATAAACCATAAACCCAAAACCCTAAACCCTAAACCCTAAAAGGCTAAACCCTAACTCCTAAGCCCTAAACCCTAAACCCTAAGCCCTAAGCCCTAAACCCTAAAAGGAAACCCTAAACCCTAAACCCTAAAAAGAAATCCTAAACCCTAAACCCTAAAAGGAAACCCTAAACCCTAAACCGTAAACCCTAAAGCCCAAACCCTAAACCCTAAAAGGAAACCCTAAACCCCAAATCTTAACCCCTAAAAGGAAACCCTAAACCCTAATCCCTGAACCCTAAAAGGAAACCCTAAACCCTGACCCCTGAACCCTAAACCCTAAAAGGAAACCCTAAACCCTAAACCCTAAAAGGAAACCCGCAACCCTAAACCCTAAAGGAAACCCCAAACCCTAAAAGGAAACCCTAAACCCTAAACCCTAAAAGGAAACCATAAACCCTAAACCCTAAACCCCTTAAAAAGGTAACAGAAACCCTAAACCCAAAACCCTACACCCTAAACCCGAAACCTTAAAAGGAAACCCTAAGCCCTAAAAGGTAACCCTAAACCCAAAAAGAAACCCTAAACCCCAAACCCTAAACCCTAAACCCTCAACCCTAAAAAGAAACCCTAAACCCTACACCCTAAACCCTAAACCCTAAAAGGAAACCCTAAACCCTAAACCCTAAGACCCTAAACCCTAAACCCTGAACCCTAAACCCTACAAGGAAACCATAAACCCGAAACCCTAAACCCCAAACCCTAAAAGGAAGCCCGAAACCCTAAACCCTAATCCCTAAACCCTAAGCCCGAAACCGTAAGGGACACCCTAAACCCTGAATCCGAAAAGGAAACCCCAACCCAAAAAATCGAGAGTTGGCTAAGTGACCGCTCGGGGTTTGCTAAGTGACCTGAAAAACGATGCGCTCTCCGATTGGCCAAGTGACCGTGTTCGGGGTTGGCTAAGTGACCCAGGCTCCCTTTCGAAAGCTGTGCCTCTACTTCTTTTCTTTGGTACAAGACTCTGCACCCTCGCAGACAAAACGAAAGGGAGCGCGCAAAGCCTTACTCCTATGAGTCCCCCCGTGCTTCACGCAGATCGCACACGAACAGGGGCGTAGCGCTGTGCGCAGGAGTCTAGGGGGCAACCCTTGGCTCCAAACGCCTTGCAAACAAGCAAGCAAGAGGCTTAAGGGGGTCTTGACCGGCCGTCATGCCCTGGGACAGAGAGAGAGAGAGGCTAAGAGTAAGCTGCTCCGTTTTCGCTAGTCTTGTTGCTTTCGTGCTAGTGGCATGTCGAACAAAGGGGGGACACCTCAACCTTTTCAATGATGTTAGGCGTGCACTGTTGTTTTTACTTGCTCCATTTCATGGTGGAATAATAATAGCAAAGTGGGAGCAGTGGCATGATGTGTCAGTTCGAGCCAATAGATGTCCCAGAGAAGCGGGGGATGCATCGAATAATCACTTATCCCAACATGCTTGCTGTCATCTTATTGTTGGTAACATACCTTGTCATCCTGATGAGAAACCCCGTAACGCTTTCACGTCTCTTCAGAGCCCCACAACATATGAGGGCCCATAGGCCGGGGGACCTCGACAGTCCCCTATGCCCTGTGGAGGAGGGAATAAAGGGGGGAGGGCGACATTTGAGCCCGGCTTAGCATGATGTACTTCTGGAACGGCATTGTTTTTCTACTTTCAAGGTCGCTCTCCTTCTGTCGCGGGAGTAGGCCTAAACGTCCTTTTGTTGCCATTCGGTCCACTCCAACACGGGGTTCGCACTTGCGCAGGGGGTGGAGCAATCCTCCCCTCAGGCCCGCAGAAACGAAGAAAGAGAGGAAACTACCTTGGGGTTAGGCAGAGGTTTAGGGCTGATAGGTTTTATAGGGATTATGGTATAGTTAAGCTTAGGGTTTAGGGTTTATATAAGGCTTAAGGGCTTCTGGCCTAAAGATACACCCTACCCCAAGCTTTTCCTGAGGATGTTCAAGTTTGTTTGAGGCCTCAAGGCTCATGAGATTCACGGCGAATAGAATCTTCTCCTTTGCGGTGGGCCTTCTGCCCATGAGAAGCACGAGGCGAGAATGCTAAGAACTGCAGGGCCGACTTCCCGAACGATTGCGGCCCTACGTAGAGCCTCCATATAGGTGACATTCGATCCTTATTTTTCGGACCCAAGCTGAAAGCCTAGTAAGAGATGCTCAGAAGCTCGGAGAGCTGAGGCCTTCTGCCTTTGCGCGGCCTCGATCTCGAGGGCCGGACCCCGAAGGTGCGGCGCAATGCGGCCGCTCCCTTTGCCGGCTGCCGATGCATTGAGGCGCAGATCTGAGCTGTGCGAAGCAGATTGCAGGTTCGATTTGGTCGCTTCGAGGAGTTGCAGTGGGGGTTTGCGCAGAGGTTTAGGATGGGTTCTGAAGACGAGGTTTTCTGGATCCTGAATTCGGTAGCACTGCGAGGTTACGGCCGCCGATGGCTCGGAGTGGCAGATTCTGGCAGGGAAGACTGCCGAAGACAACGACCGCCTTTCCCTCAAGGAGATACGTGCCTGGTAAAGTCGTCCTCACAACGTTACCACGATGCTCTGCGCTTGTACCTGGACCAAAGGAGGGCCGTTCTGACGAGCCGCTCCCTTGCAAGTAGCGGAGGTGCCCATCATCTTGATCCTCTATACATAGAATACATATCTATGTACATGTGTATACAAGACATAAATATATTTAAATGTGTAGATAATATGCAGATATACACATACAACTTCACCTGCCACAGAACGGAAACACAGGTGAGGTGAGATGTGCTGCAACCGTCCCCTTGCCCAGACCTTGGATGCACGCAGCGGACGTGCCCGGCTCTCACGTCGTCGTTCGGCAGCCAGGAGCCAGCTGCACGGGTTCAGCCAGCGCCGAGCCCACACCCGGAGTACAAACCTATACTCGTGTGGCGGTTTCATCGCTCAACACAGACAAGGAACCGTCGTCTCCAGCAGAGCTACATAGCAGCGGTGTGTGGACACGAACAAAATCGATTCGGCTGTACTTGACTCGATCACGAATGATGAGATGCAATCATCCATGCAGTTCGGATGGACACAGACCGTAGATAGTTAGATAGGTTCAACGGCAAGGACAAGCTGGCTTCGGACGGACACAGAGCTTTTCAGACATGGTGATGATGTTGAGGTCGATGTGAGCTTTTCGAAGTGTTGAGTATTGCATGAATACGGCCGAAGCTTTGTGCAGGAGCTGCCAAGCTGCCAGCGCCGAGCGATGTTGTGCAAACGGCTGCAGGCCGGGGGCGGGGATCCCGGGGCGGGTTCGGCTATTCTGGTGGAGATCTCTAAAAGGAAAGGCTTTTGAGTTTGTCGCTCTCCGAGGCATCGCCGCCTTCTACTCGAAGGCAGCTACGCAGCTACTCTCGGAGTGGGGGCTTTCAGATTCCTCGCCAGCGCCAGGCCAAAGGGAGGCGCGTGAAGGTGCACCTGACGCGTTGCGGCCAAGTCAGCAAGGCCAAAGGATCGCCGGCTGGCAAGGCCGGAAGCCTTGGGAAAGCCACGCTGCCGATGCTTCCGACTTCAGAGATCTCCTCTCAGAGCCTCTCTCCCCGAGGTGCTACTGTCGGGCAGCGTGGAAACCCTGCAAGTGCCGCTCAGCTCTGGCGGAGCTCGGCGAGAGTGTCCTTGCTGCTCCATGTGGCCGAGGTCGCCCTTGGATCCGGCGAGCCTGCAGAAGCCGCAGACGAAGAAGGCGAAGAGTACCCAAGCCAAGAGAGCGCTCCTGGATCCGGACAAGGAGGCGGAATGAGATTTGGAGAATATTTCCGGCAACTTACAAGTTGCTGCAGCATGGATCCACGAGCGCAGGTGTGCGGTGAACAGTACGTTGTACCGAGAACACAAGCACAGGAAACAGGCTGCAGCTAGCTGTGGACCTTCGTAATTTCATAGCCTCTTTCCTTCAATGCACATGACCGTAGAGGGAGGCTCTCCCGAGCAGACAAGAAGCCGTCATACAATGAAATCGAACCGCAGAGACAAAGCGAAACCGTCATACAATGAAATCGCGCCCCCGAAAGGACGCGAAGCCGTCATGCAAGGAAAACAGTCTCCTGAGAGGGCGCGACGCCATCACACCATGAAATCGAACAGCCGACAAACGAAGCTGTCAGGCAATGAAATCGACACCCGACAAAACAAGTCGTCATACAATGATGTCCTCAGCCGAGAAGACAAGAAGCCGTCATGCGATGAAATCGCACCCCAAGAAGACAAGAAGCCGTCATATTCAACGAAGTCGCCACCCGACGAAACGAGAAGCCGTGACACAATGAAATCGAACCGAAGAGAGCAAACGAAGCCGTCATACAATGAAATCGTCCCCCGAGAATACAAGAAGCCATCACACAGTGAAATCGAACCGCCGAGAGGAAACGAAGCAGTCGCACAATGACATGTCGTCCCCCGAGAAGACAAGAAGCCGTCATACCATGAAGCTGTCTTTCGAGAAGACAAGAAGATGTCATACAATGACATCCCACAGAAGAACAAACCATCATACACAACGAAATCGCCACCCGAGAGGACAAGCCCTCAAGTATATTGAAGTCGAGCCGCCAAGAGGAACATACAACGAAGTCGTCTCCCGAGAAGACAATAAAGTGTCACACACTGATGTCGCCCCCCAAGAAGGCAAGAAGCAGTCCTACAATGACACCGCCACCCGAGAGGACAAGAAGCCGTCATACAAGAATTAATTGCATGCAGCCCGCATACGCAAAGTCTTTTTTCTACCAGTAGCCTGTATATCTGATCTGTATGGCTTTGGATAATTCGTGTTAAAGACCGGCTGTAGTTCAAAATGTGGTTCTAGTTGTGAATGTGTTTCCCCACGCTTGCTTGATGAGACGTTGCTCCTAGAGACTGTATCTTGTATCCCTGGTTTACGTTTATTTTCATCAGTCGATGCTCTGTCAGCCAGTTTTTTAAAAGGTGTTAATGCCCCCTTCGGCAAAACATGGATGTCTAGAGGTTCAGTGAATTTCTGTATCCTCCTTATCCAAGTGCTGACTGGTCTTAGCAATTTTGGTGTTTTGGGGTATTGTCGTTTTAGGCCTCGGTTTTCCTGGTTGGCACTAGTGTGACGCAAGCAAGCGCCCACAGCGTCCCCGTGCCTATTCCTTAGGCTTCTTGATTTTTGCCAGTGCTTGCAGGTGCTTGTAGCATCATTATTGATATTTCACGTGTCTTATATTCGTAGCCTTTATTTTGAGTTTGTGTATGTCCTGTTTCGTGGGCCAGGCAGCGCGACTGGAGAGCCTCCGAGACTTGCTTTGCAGTCTGAGTAAGACCAGGGTTCAGGGATGGGAAATGCTGGGATCTTGTTTCTTGATGTTACTATGGCCCGCGACGGCCCTGCGTCGCCACTGCGGGGACTGGGAATCATCCAGGAGCCTTTCGAAGGAAGATGAACCTGGAACGTCGGATCGACGTCTTGGACGAGAGGAGCCTCCTCGCATCTCCACAAGTGGCTCCTAAATCCTGTCAAACTCCTGCAGACCATCCTAAGGTCCTAAACCCTAGCTAAGCCAGGATCCGCGCCGTGGATGAGGAGATGGCCCTTGCCGGCAGCGATGCCGAGCTGGCGGCCGAGCTGTTGGAGAAGCGGCAGGACTCCCTTAGACGCAACTTGATCGCATCACAGCCTGGGACCTTGCAAGATCTCGTCGGAGGCTTTGGAGACTGAGCAGAACACGCTCTTCCAGGATTGGGAGGAGCCTTGAATAGATTTGCCGGAGATCCAGCTTCCTTTGCCGAGTCCCCTGCTCCCTGGTCCCTAGTAGAGGACCCGTGAATAAGGCCAGAAGCCCTAAACTTCCTAAACCCTGAGCCCCGTTAGACCCCAAACCCCCCTCAGAGCCGGCCTTCTTGTCGCAGGAGCTCGAAGATGCCTCGGCGGGAGCAAGACATGGAAAAAGACCTTGCCATCATTCTTGAAGCTGCAGCTTATCGAGATGATAACCTGATATGATGGGGCATCTACTGGGGTTTATGGTCGGGTTCTCAGGCGGGTGTATGGTGGTTCTATATAAGCTACAGCAAGACAACAAGAAGGCCCACATGCAAGGCGGTAGGTCGGGACTCCGTCCGAGCCAGTCGCGCAGGTCATGGCCAGCATGATGGAGCTTTATCGCAACGAGTGCTCCGGCTTGAAGGGCGAGTCAAGTTATGGAGAGCCCACCACAAAGACTAGCTAGATGGTTTTGATGGAAATTGCCTGCGAAAGAACAGGCATACCATGCCGTGATACTCGTTTCTGTATGCATACATCTTTCCATGTTGTTGATTCGCCTTGCTACAGTATGCAGAAAGTCTTGTTCCCAGGCTCGTCGATCTTCTGGTTCCCAAGAGCACCGGCACTTCCCCGTGCCTTGGTTTCCTGGTGGCCCAACTTTCTTTAGGGCTTGGGGTTTTGTCGTAGGGATCTCTTGACAGTACTTGCAGTGCCGGTGTCTGCAGGAAGCGGAGGAGTCAAAATCCTGGTGCTGGGTCCTCAGCGCACTTGAGATGCACGCGAACAGGCTGACAACATCATGTAGATGCAAAGACAACGATGTATGTAAATACACGTGTATATAGCCCCCCGTAACAGGCGGTATCCGAGGCGTGGGCGAGGGGGTTGGGGGTCAGTTGACCGAAGACTTGGCTCACATATATGCACATCAGACAGTGTGTACGCATGCATGTACGCATGTAAGGATGTACATACGTGCGTATGTATATGCAAGTATGTATGTATCTATACATTTACGTATCTGTGTGTATTTATATACGCACCCCTGTAGTACCAAGAAGTGTATGTATAATAAAGGGCAAGAAAATAGCATGCACACAATTGTATATAGTTTTATATGAGAACATAGAGTATAGTAGATTGCAATCTAATGTAGGCAAGCACGCCGTTGTGATATGCCACTATCTCAGATGTTGTGTAATGTTACATGAGATATAGTAATCTAGCAAATTGCCACAAAATACATGTGATATCATGTCTTATCACTTGATAACCATGCAATACCATGTAAAGTCATATAGCCTGATATCACATCATGTCATGTAAAATGCTACCATGTCATATCACACCGTAAAAGGCCCCGCAAAGGGACCGTCATATAGAAAACTGTCCATATGCCAGGGTTTTGGTTTTTGTGTTTGAGGTGGAGGTGTATTTACGCGGGCTTGATTCATCCTTGCTTACTAAGTCCCCTGATCCCTTAAGTACGGCAGCCCCAAATATCATGTCATAACACGTCATACCACACAACAAGATTCAGCTAGTCTAGTTTAGTACCATCTCATATCTCTACATATACATATACATATAGTAAGTTGAAGCAATAATACATCGGACGCAAAGCACGCTATATTCTGATATGGTATGTATGCCGTTATCTTTATGTATTTGTGCGCACGTATGTATATACTTGTAGAGAGGAGGGAGAGAGATCGTAAGTTGTTGTGAACCATATCTTTTTCAACCGAGCTCTTTTGCTGCTGGCGCTTTCGCCCCTCCGACAGAGCCCAGAAACAGTTAGCAGAACCCTTGCCCATTTCGGGTAATAATACCACCAGTCAACCCATTAGACG